ACCGTCATGAAAACTTGTGGTTAGAAATGAAAAGTTTATTGTTTTATAAGCTAATTATTATAAAAATATATTATATAAATTTTATATTCTATAAATTTTAATTGCATTTTTTAGAAATTGTGAATGATGCCATCTGGTACATTGTTTGACTGGGGAACTCAGTCATTTCCTGTAATGACGGATATTTCAGTGAAACGCCGTAATTAAAGTAAATTATTTAAGTTGGTTTGCCGGTTTTAGGCCATTGAACTGAAGTCTGTGTTGCCTTTTAGTGCATCAAAGTAAGATATTTTCCGTAATTACAATATTTAAGATAAAAATACATCGAAAGGTTTCTAATTATCTGTATTCTTGTAACGAAAGATGGAGGTTTATAAAATAAACCTAACAGATAAAAACATTATTGACTATGAAGACTTATGATTATATAAATATTTCCGGTAATAAAATCAGTAGGGACTGTCCAAATTTTAAGAAATCACCCTGTACAGTTTCTATTTTACGAACGGTGATGAATGTACAAAATGTTATCTTAAATATTGGAAAATACTTTACTTTGATGCACTAAAAGGCAACATTGTCTTAAGTTCAATGATCGCCTAAAACGGACACATACATGGTAACTTAAATAATTTAGCTAATTACGCCGTTTCACTGAAATATTCCGTCATTACAGGGAACGCCTGAGATCCACAGTACCAAACGATGTACCAGTGCCGGTAATACGTGAAACGACTAGCCATTACAGGGAATGACGGAATTCAGTATATATAACGGGTAAGGGAAAAAACAACGATGTCCATTTTATGGGGATTCTTAAGTAATTAATTTATAATCTGTTGATACCAAGTCCCAAACACATGCTAAATTGTAATTGAGTATAACAAACGATGTACAAATAAAAACGTTTACAGTGATAAATTTTGTATATCTTTAACATGATATTTGGCAACATTAAATAAGTTTCCTCTGTAAAAGTCAGTTTTATGACATCGTCAGTTTTTTCTCTTACTCTTCCTATGATGCCGAAACATGTAAGTTTATTTTCAAAGCGACAATTTTATTTAAATTATGCGAATGCTTAATTTGACATGAAAAACGTTTGTATCTATATATGTATGTAATATGAATTGATTACTTTATTTTTACCATTTATACTAGTCTTATAAATAGGCAAATTTAAGCGGGATACAAGTGCTTTTTTAACTTATAATTTCTGTGTAAATTTAGTGATTAAGGACAGTATAACAGTTGTACCTAAATTGGTGAATTTGTTGATAAGAATTTGCCAAAAAAAGTATATAATTAATTGTGTGTACTGGCAACAGAGACAATGGATTGATTTAAAAAATACCGGTGTTAATTTTTAGAACAACTGTATGTGTAAACTGTGCGGTTTGTTTTATACCAACTATACTATCCATTGATTTGTTGGCTGTGTACCGAAATTTTAGTACGTTAGTTTAAAAAAAATGGTGATCATTGGTGATTGCTTACATCATAAAGGTTAATAAAGTATTTTTAGTATGTTTATGTTCATCAATTTAATTATTTATTGTTGCGTGACTAATAATATTTTTATTTAGTTATATTGACAAACCGATTGTATGATTCTTGCAAAATAAAATTAGATATTGTTTACCTTTCGTTTTATTTCAAACCAAGTCAAACGTACAGATAGAGGATTGATTGACATATTCAATTGTTTTCGGTCACTTTCGGTTTCACCGGAAATGACTACAACTTATGATTTTTAAGTGGTACCCTCAGTATTTTTCTACTTTTTTCGGTAGAAAATGATACTCTGAATAGAATGACATATCACATGTCAACTTTTGACATTTTCGCATATGGTTTATTTGAAATTGTAACATGCGGTTCATAACGACAATTTGACTCGAAGTACCAAAAGTGTGGTATCAAATTATTCGTAAAAAAATTATTTTTCTAAATATGCTAATGAGTCATCCTCGTTCCATTTGAAAAAAATTGAGATATGATCAAAAATACGATTTCGGCATCTTTTAACCGGCCAGGACAAGACACTATAAACATTAGACGATCAAATCTATTTTTCCAAGGCTCCTTGATTAAAAATTAGTGTTTTTAACACAGACATGGCACTCTAGATTGAGATATAAAATACAATTTGTTTTTGAGCGAATATGTCAAAAGTTGACATATGATATGTCATTCTATTTAGAATGTCATTTTCTATCGAATAAAGTAAAAAAATACCGAGGGTGCCATTTAAAAATCAAAATTTGTAGTCATTTTCGGTGAAACAGGAAGTGACAGAAAACAATTGAATACGTCAATCAATCCTAATTTATGTCATATGCTAATATACCAAATCTCATTTTTTTATCTAAAAAAATAAAAAAGTTATAGGGGTGAGCCACTTTTGAGACGCACCCGGTATATACGGCGTCGTATAAATTTGCTACCTGCAATGTATGTAGAAAATTCGCTAGGCTTTTTATCGAGTATGTCACATTAAAATCGGATTTCAATTTATTTCATTCTAGGATCGCTTGCGTTCGTCGCTTGGTACTCGTCACTTGCATCACTCGTTCATAATCGAGCGATGTGGGTTATTTCAATAATCGAGTACTCGAGCGAATTTTCGCTCGAGTTATCCCATCACTAACTATTTTGTAGACACAGCATTTTATCTAAATATGTCCCCGGATTGGCTTTACAAAAAAAATAACGTTTTTTATTATTGAAATTTAGAGGAAAATGCATTCTTCATAAAATTTTTTGCTTGTTCTAAAATGGTTAATCCCATTTAGACTTTTTCAAATCTTCATACCGTTTAAAAAAAATAATAAACCATGAAAATACGGTTTTGTTTTAGGCGAAGTCCTAAAAATCAAAAGGCGTTTCTATGGTAATATCATTTCGATTTCATTCTTGATACCATAGATAAATGAAACAAGTTTAGATTGGAAAGTGCCCATAAGGACAATATAAACGCTATTTAGCGCTATTCTTGCAACGGTCGCGAACCAAAACTTTTGAAAATTTCGGAGCGGTTCGGCTTTTTCCGGAATTATATCGCCAAATATTGTTTATTCAAATTTATTATTATTTTCGTTTAATTTTATAAATAAAATACAGTGTGTTGCATACAAGAAACTTTATTTTATATAAGGACGCATGTATGAAATACCTATGAAACATTGGAAACCGACGTTATGCCACGATCCACGATGGTTTTTGCAGTTCACAGTTCACAGCACAGCTTTTTAAGAAGAAAGTCTTACCTAAAATCCTTGGATACAATACTCCACCAGGAGCTACGATTATCTTTGGGTGTCTTTATGCCTTATCTGGATATTCTTCCTTGTGTCACAGGAGAATTCTCCATACTCTTAATTATGGAATATCAATTAAGTCAAAGCTTTTTTTGATTGACTATGGCAAGTTTTTCAATTTACAAGACAGTGAAACATATACCGTTCATCCAAAATACCAACGCAACGCCCCATTAATATAAGATACCACCTATTTTCTTCCCAACAAAACATTCCTAATATCCCTGTACCTATCCACTTTTTCCGACACACTGCCCCCTTAATGGAAGGATCTTATTTCAGTTAATGTGGAACTTTGTACATTAAAAAAATCTGAAACATCCAGATATCTTTACAAAACTAGCCTATAATAAATTTTAGACGAAAAATATCGTGACTTTGTTTTTACACAGATGGCTCGAAATCTGACCAAGGTGTTGGCTGTGCTTTTTACAGCCCGGTTGCTAATAAAAAAATCAGATTACCTAATTTCTCTGGTACTTTAACAGCCGAACTCACAGCTATTTATCAGGCTCTTGTCCAAATTCGGAGCATGCCACCGATTGTGAGACAGGAAATTGTAGAGAGAAACAAGCCCTATAACATAGGATACAACATTTTAATGAACAGTGCTTTCAATAAAATCAATAAAATGAAAAATATACGAAATAATATACATGTACTGATTTCTTTCGAAAATCGACAACTATGAAACTATTATCCCTTCACCGACACAAACGGTATATTGTGAGACAGGAAATTGTAGAGAGAAACAAGCCCTATAACAGGATGCAACATTTTAATGAACAGTGCTTTCCATAAAATCAATAAAATGATAAATATACGAAATAATATACATGTACTGATTTCTTTCGAAAATCAACAAATATGAAACTATGAACCCTTCCCGGACACAAACGGTACATTGTGAGATAGGAAATTGTAGAGAGAAACAAGCCCTATAACATATAGAGGACACCACATATATTAACTGCACATATACATATATAACCAGAATATAACTAACTTACATATTTACCTGGGAGATGTAAAGAGGGCACACAGTTCTTTATTTTCTTTAGTAGCATTTCTACATCACTATTTGTAAAATGCTTATTACAAATATACACTTTCTTGTATACTTGTTCTGGTGCCAAGGTAGAAAATTTAGTATTTCCTGTTGCTCTCCACCAAGACTGGAATAAATCCCATTTATATTTGGGATTAGGAATACGGAATAAATATGCATTTTCATCGTTGCGGTAGCTTCTACCACAACCAAACACTCCACAACTAAAATGAGCAATTTCCTAAAAAATAAATAAAAATTAACTACTTTTACTATGCAAAATTATTTATAATAAACTTACCGTTTATACGTACGTCGATATATGCTAGAAATAGGGTACAAGTTAATATTATAGTAATCACGAAAGAAAAAAAACTTAGAAAACAACCGATCAACGCAACAAACTTTGAAATCGACGCGTGCCGCGCCGTGCGCTTCATCTGACAGAAAATGGCTGACTAATGGGTGTTTAACTGGTTGCATTCAGTACCTAGCGCCATCTAGTTGAGCTGCGCTAATTAATTTCTTGAAAATATTTGGCCTATATTCAGGCCCCTGGTCTAAATTGTAATCTATGGTTAATTACTAATTAGACTGGTTTTGTTTTCTATGGACTGGTTGTTGCCTTGTTCTGTGAATTAGACAAAGAGCAACAAATGGCAATAAAAATAAACAAAGACAGCAACATCATAGAAAAGAGCAACATATTTTATCATTACCGATTGGAATAAATTTATTAAATTTGAATACAATAACAAAGAGAATATAAGTCATATATAAGTTCGCTGATATCTGCGGTTGATAATGATATTATTAGGAAATTAAATTGTTTATTAAAGGCGTTGCAAAACATAACTATAAAGTATGAGTCTTGTATATTCTATGAGTTAAAACAAGACCTTTATTTTGTATAAACATCTTTTAATATATTTTTAAAAATGTGGACTAGAGTTTTTGTGCTAATAACACTCTTAAAATACATATATTCTTACAAACCAGTGATACTTATACATGGAATATTAACTGGAGCGCATAGCATGGAGATTATAAAAGCTCGAATCGAAGAGGTTAGTAAAAATATTCAATAATTATGGTAATCTTTATATTTATACTTCTAGAAACACCCTGGAACAGTCATCTATAATATTGATAGTTTTGAAGGGTGGTCCAGCTTGGACAACATGTGGTACCAAGTACAACAAATTACTGAGACCCTATACAATGTCACTGAAGAATACCCCCATGGTATTCATTTATTAGGGTATTCTCAAGGTGCACTGTTAGCTAGAACTGTATTACAGGCTAATATTGATCACAAAGTTCACAATTTTATATCTCTGAGCGGCCCACAAGCAGGGCAGTATGGTAGTAAGTACATTTTAAGTTGTTCTTATTAGATTTTGAGGGCATAACTATTAAATCTGGACTTTTTAGCTCAGTTTTTACACTTGTATTTTCCCGGCCTTGCTTTAGAAACGGCTTTTGAACTATTTTATTCCAGAGTAGGCCAACACATCTCTGTAGGTAATTATTGGAATGATCCCTACCATCAGAAACTCTTTCTAGAATATTCTAATTACTTACCATACATAAACAATGAGTTACCGTCAAATAAGAGTGAAGATTTTAAAAATGCTCTGTTAAAACTGAAGAAAATGGTACTAATTGGGGGCCCAGACGATAACGTAATTACCCCCTGGCAATCTAGGTAGGAATAACCCATTTTTCTATTGAGAAAAAATTATTATTTATTTTTCTCTTTAGTCAATTTGGATTTTATAATAGCAACGGTACAGTTGTTAATTTCATGAACAGAGAAATATACACTGAGGATAAGATTGGATTGAAGACCCTGTATGATCAGAAGCGATTAAAGATTATAACTGTGCCAGGAATAAACCATTTTCAGTGGCACATAAATGTATCGATTGTAGATAATTATATATTACCTTATTTAGATTAATATTAATTTGTTTACAAATTTAAACAACTAGCCAGTAATATTAATTTATTAAAAGATTATTTGAATATAAACTATTTAATTGAACCCTTGATTTAGACGTAATAGTGTGGTTTTTTAATTACTATCCCGAATTCAGCCAGTGCAGGAGTTAAATCTTCCATAGTCAAGCAATATCGTTTATCTTTTATACTTTTTGAACTCTAAAACCAAGTAAAAACGGTATTTAAGTAGTTATTGAACCCCTGTCAGAGAAAAGTAATTTTTTGAAATTATTTTGTTTCTTTACCTTTGCATTGCCCCCGTGACTTGTTCCTGCATTGGTAGACCTCATCTTACAATGTTGTAAAGCGTCGTTTGCGATATCCGAGATAAATTTCTGTGCAGCAATTGAAATGAGCCGTAGAAGTCTGGGGTCCTTTGGTTCAAAACCGGAAGATCTCAAGTAATAGGCTGTAACAGCATCAGGAATCTAAAAATGATGTTGTTTAAAGGAATGGATAATGCACCTAGCTATTATAACATAAAAATACACTAATACATACGGTTGGTGTATAATCTTCTAATTGTCGGAGAAAATAACTTAGGGGTTGCCCCAGAGTGACTGGAGCAATATCTTCTTCCATTTTCTCGTCGTTCATATCACTGTTCATTATAATAGAGTATAGTACTTAATAAAATAAGTTTCTTTAAATTTGTTTACGCTAGGAAGTGTATAATTTTTAGAATAAATTGTTTTTAAAACATTTCTGGATCAATAATAAATAATAATAAATGTCAAATGTCAGCACCATAGAAGAAAACAAATTAAAGGCACCACAGAGGACATAAATGTGGCAGAATAATTAGGGATGGGCGAGTTAAAAAAAAACATGGATTAAAAATCTAGTTTTTTACGTGTAAAATAGCTTAGATTTTAGTGGTTTAAAATTTTTAAAAGGGTATTTTATAAACTCTGTTAACGGTTAATGCAAGTAAAGAAACATATTTTAGTATATCTGTATGTTGGTCTTTTTATTACGCGAAGAATTCGAAATTTTGGTAAAAATAACAGAAATTTGTTGAGGAAGGGAAATGCCACTATAATATTCTTCATTTTATTAAAGATTTTATTGGGTTTTTACATTTATTACGTGTATTTCACGCCAAAAAGACAATGACAAGTAGATGCAACAGTCTAAACCAGACTAAACTAAACTAGGCGAATAACAAAAACTACATTTGTTCATCTTTTAATTTTATATATATTTTAAAACCAACATAGATATAATATTTAATACTCAAACCGTAAGCTAAATTTAAACCAATTTTATAACAATAATTTACCACCATTCTAGACCTATTTAAATAACCAAAAAATATAACGAATATATTAAATAAAGCAATCATTTTCCCTCTATATTTCTTAAGTTTTAACTTTCGTTCCACCATGTACAATCGCCTGAGCCTTACTCATTATATCTAGGGCCCCTTTTTGGATCAGATTCCTAGCTAGATTTTCTCCCAGTATCTGAGCCTTTTTTAAATTTTCTTTTGTGATACTTTTATGAGAAACTAAACCAACAAAAAGATTGCTGTTGTTATTCTCTATACTCACTGAGGGGGCACTAACAATATTATTTAGTCTTTCTAAAAATAAACAAACAAAAAAAATGTACAATTTATTTTAAGTGTAAAATTACTTTGTGATTTTCAATGAGTTACTTACCTGTAGTTTGCTTTAAATATGGACATTCTTGAGCAATTTTTTTTATTTCTGCTGGTGAACCATCTAGAGGTAAATGATTGTGGATTGTCTGTTTAAAAAAAAAAAATATACAGTATATTATATGTTCTATTAATATAAACCAATGTACAGGGTGGCACCTCTCATAGACGCGGAGACTCCAAGGAAAACGGTAATTGAAAGCATTTTATAAAAATATAGAGTTGTACAGGGCATCCCCAAAAAAAGTTACGCATCAAAGTTGTTTTTTCTAACGGAACACCCTATATATTAATCGATTTCTAGGAAGAAAATAAAAGTGAGTTTCATTAAAAAAGTATATTATACTTATAGTACGAGAGCTAGCAACGTCGGAAAAACAAGTATTTTAAGACGTCTGGCTCTTTGATACATCTTTTACTATGCTCTCTAGAACAGCATGAGGCCCGTCTGACTGCCGGTAAACGTTGCGTTCCCTACTGTGCATTGAAAGAAGATCCTATATTTTTATTAGTCCTTTAAATTCTAGTATTGAATATAAACCGACCGAGTGTCCATAGCTCCGCGCGAAGAGGTTCTGCCTATCAAGCGAGGAGTCAGAGTTCGAATCTGGGTCAGTGCAAAAACTTTTTTATTTTATTTTCGTTTATATTCTGATAGTAAAGTATTAAATATTTGTTTTTATTTAATAACCAGAATTATTTAATACTTTCCTATCAGAATATAAACGAAAATAAAATAAAAAAGTCTTTGCCCTGACCCGGATTCGAACTCTGAATCCTCGGCTCGTAGTTGGAAACTCTACACACTGAGCTATGGAGACAGGTTCGATTTATATTCAATACTAGAATTTATAGGTCTAAATTAAAAAAAATATATTGGATCTTCTTCCGATGCGCAGTAGTGAACGCAACGAGTATCGGCAGCCAGATGGGCCGCATGCTGTTCCCGAGAGCATAGTAAAAGTATAAAACGATTAAACCTTAAAACTAGATTATACGGAAGAATAAGGAACCTTTATTCTTCCGCAAATATATCCATAGGATTAGATCCAGGGGCACTAAGTCAGGTGGCCTCGACGGCCAACGGCTGGGATCTTGGTTAGCTATTCAATTATTCTTGAAATTGACTGCAAAAATTTGCTGATAACTTCAGCGTTCAGAGGCGGTGCGTCGTCTTGCTGGAAAAATATGTTTCCGAGTTCCATTAAGGGCATATCATCAATAAGGGGTCCAAAGTAAAGCCTACTAGTTAAAAGTGGCCAACTTTTATAAATTCTGTATTTCGAAGGGGATTATAACAAAATATCAAGAGTGCTATATTTTTGGAAAGGTAATTTTAAATTCTTTTCAGTTAATTAAAAATATAGAGGGTGTCCCAAATAAAAAATCAATTTTTCTGTTGATAACTCTTAAATTATTAATTTTAAAAAAATTATACTTAAACCATTAAATTCTACGTAAAAGGTGCTTTGGAAATGTTTCAATAAAAATACAAAATTTTCCATAGCAAAAAAGTTACAGGGATTTGTTAAAAATGCACATTTTTGAAAAACACCCCGTAACTCCGAAACGGTAACAGATATTGATGTGCGGTTTTCACCATCATGTTTTTGATGAAAATTGAGCTCCAGACACCGATATTAGTTTTCGTCTATCTCCTATAGAAAAGGGTGTTTCCATTTAAAAGCGTCGAATTTGTCCCACCCTGTACAATATTATATTTACCTGTAGATCTCCTTCTAAGTATGGACACTGTCCCATAAAATCCAAGCCTATAGGCAACTGCATGGGACATTTTTCATGAGGATCATTTTCTAGTAACTCTTTTGTAATATTTAACCTAGTTTTTTTAGCTGGAGGCATTTTGTTCGGGGAAACGGGGCAACTAATACAGCATTCTATAAAACAACATAACAAAAATCATGTAAACTATAATTTTTGTATCGATTTTCAATTACCTATGTCGATAATTTCGATAAAACCGTTTTTATAGGGACACTCTGCACATTTGATACTATCTAATACATTTAATTGAGTCTTAGCATTATCCAAAACTTCTTCTTTGCCATCCAAAGACCATACTGCACCTTTTAGAGATAATTCTACCTAAAATTATATAGAATTTCGTTAATTTTTTCCTAAATAAATTAAAAACACCTATTTTTACCTCTTTTTCTTTGATTAAAATCAAATTAGAAGTCACAGCTACAGGGGCACTACAGCCACCTCCCAGAGTTTTTAAAAAACTTCTTTCTGCGATTATCCTTAACGCTGTTTGGAGATCATACAGTGGTTCTAGTAGTTTTATTATGTTTTCATCGTTTTCCCTACATTCTACAGCCAGTGCCCCTTGGCCCACTGCATAGAGGAATTCCTCAGAATCAAGCATCTAAAAGTTTATAAAAATAACACAAAAAACAAGAATAGAAAAAAACCAAAGACATCTAAATAAGAGGGAGACTATACTCTAATACTCCATTTAAAAACTCTATTTGTTTACAATCTTATATACTTTAAAACTTTTATGTGAGTTAAAATGAGTTAGGTACATAAATAATGGCAACGGTGTTGAGTTTCGTGTGCATTTCTGCCATTTCGGTCGAACAATTGTAAAAATTAATTTTTGTTTATAATATTATATTAATGTAATATAAGGTACTCTATAGGTACCCAAAAAAACATAATAATAAGATATTTCGTTTTCAAACGGAAGCCGCAGACCTAACGAAATTCGCAGAAATTTATCATCGTCGCTTTTTGTATAAACGATGTTTGATCGCGGTAGTTTCGTCTCCCTTTATATAGATAGATGTCTTGGGTAGAAAAACACTAACAGCACAAAAATTACTCTAAAATACAAGACACTTTGCAATATAATGTTGCAAGACGGGTCAACAAGTTAAACACAAAATTGAACCCAACTCTGAAAAGGCTTTTAGCCATTGTACTGGTTCAAAAGACTACGAAAGACTGTTTAAAAATCTTTTACCATATTTCATTTAAATCTTTTAGAAATAGAGTAAATACAGACATAAGAAACAATTTATTATGTCTATGTGCTGTCTAAATATCCTAAATATACATAAAATCATGTTAGGATACTGGGTTTATTATATTGACAGAAAAGACTGAAGAATAGAAGAATACTAGGGATCAATAACACTAAGAACAATATTGTAACCAGTTAATATCAAAGCTATTGGGCCAGTGCCGTGTCATAGAGGGTTAATATAAAAAAAAATATTTTGATTAAATAAAAATTGCAATTTTAAAAGTTTCACAATACTTTTTTAAAATTATTATTCGATGTTTTTTTAATTTTATATTTTAAATTTGTCTGCCTTTTATAATAAAACTGGTTATTAAATTTTTTAGTTCACAAAATTAGTTGTAAATAGATTGACAAAATAAAACATAGGGTAGGTATATGATATGTACTACTAGTTGCTCTTTAAAAAGGTTTTAATTTGTTTTTATACTGAGTAAAAAAAATTCAAGTGGCATGGCGTAGTTTAAAATTTTAATTTAATTTGGATAAAGATTTGTATGTCTTGAAATGTTCTATCCTTTTTTAATCTCTCTATATTAGTGTCAATTTTTAAGCAGTTTAATGTCAATTTTAAAAAAATTGTCTAGAGATTGACCTCCCTAAAATTATTATCGACTGTCGATCCACAGCCGTATTTGACACCGTTTTTTCTGTGATACAGTATATTATTTATTTATTATAGTATTAAAATTAGATTAGATTATAGACTATATAGGCAAACGCTATATACGGGAGCTATTATTATTATTAAAATTAGGGATTACTTTTACTAACAGTAATAACCACAGAGTTAAAAATAAGTAATAACAGCTTTTTTAATTCAGGAGTGAACTTTATTTTTCTTTAAAAATAAAGAATCCTTTGATATTAACAAGCCACAGATATAACACCAGGCATTCTGTTTATAATTATCCAGTACACAGGCTTAAATTATCTGAATTAAGACATTATTATTATTGCTTGAAAATATTTAACCACCTAGCAAATTATACAGGGTGGACCGGACTGTATTCCGGAAACTTCGGCAGCATATTCTGCAGATTAAACAGGGTGAGCTTCAGAGATACAGGGTGTAGAAGTTTCATTTTTATTTCGATTTTTTCCAAATAATTTCTGAAGCAACGTCAATATTTGGATGAAAACTGGTGTCTGGGAGTTTTTTGACGTTATAAATTTGATTTTCATGTCAATATGACTCCTAATTGTACAGGGCGCCACCTACATATTTTTAAACTGGTTTGAAAAGTAATCACTTTTCGTCCATACCTGTATAAAACTACTGAGTAAAAAAATATACATTTACAACTTTTTTTACGTAAAAAAAACGTCTCTTGGTAAAAATCGCTACGAGTAAAGCTTGATTTTCATGCATCCGTTGTCCGACGATACGTTGATACGATATTAATTTTATTGGTTGTATTTAAAGGCTTTGATTGGTTAACCGTTTCTAACAAATCAAAATCTTTAAATTCAACCAATAAAATTAATATCGTATCATCGTATCGTCGGATAATGGATGCATGAAAATCAAGCTTAAAGCTTCATTTTCATGCATCCGTTGTCCGACGATACGATGATACGATATTAATTTTATTGGTTGAATTTAAAGGCTTCGATTGGTTAACCGTTTCTAACCAATGGAAGTCTTTAAATTCAACCAATAAAATTAATATCGGACCATCGTATCAACGGATAACGGACGCATGAAAATCAAGCTTAAGCTGGAGTCTCATGCATCCGAAATCCGATGGTACGACATCCGAAATTTGAAGTTATCCTGTGAAATAAAAAAAGCCGGTCACATACATCCGATAGTTCGTTCCGAAATTTGACAGTTTTGACATTTTTCTGCTGCATTGAATAGAGATTCATGTCATGTTTATGTAAAATCATAAATTTGAAATGTTTTTGTGCCAAAAGTTCCACAGAAACTGTTTAATCATCATTTTTTCGCAGAAAAATTTATGATTAATTTACAAAAACTTACAAAAATGACTGATTAACAAAAAAAAAAATATTATTTCAGTCAAATAACTATACTCAACGTGTGTTTATTTTTTGTCAATAATGACATGTATTGACTATTTCCATTCTAAATATCTTTAGAACTGTTGCTCGTAGAGACTTTTACCAAGAGACATTTTTTACATAAAAAATCACGGAAATGTATATTTTTTTACCCATTAGCTTTATACCGGTACGGACGAAAAGTTATTATTCTTCAAAACAGTTAAAAATATGTAGGTGGCGCCCTCTACAAGTAGGAGTCATATTGACATCAAAATGAAATTTCACATGACAAAAAAACTCCCAGACACCAATTTTCATCCAAATATTGACGTTACTTCAGAAATTATGTAAAAAAAATCAAAATAAAAATGAAACTTCTACACCCTGTATCTCCGAAACTAAGTATTTTAGGACATACATTTATACAAACTTTTTTACTTATTTTTATCTGCAGAATATACTGCCGAAGTTTCCGGAATACAGTTCGGACCACCCTGTATAAAAGAAATATTGTGCTTTGTAAAAATCTGTTACATAAATTTTTGTTCTTAATCTGAGGTAATAAGTAATTATTAAACTAGGTTAAGTTATTGTTGTTTTATGACCCTATTTCCTTTTATGATATTGTAACATACTTTTGAAACAAAGATTATTTATTATTATTATTAGTGCTTACCTTTGAAATCCTATTTTTCCAACCAATCCTAATAAGACCTGCAGAAGCCAGAATAATAGCTTGATAAGTGCCTAAATCATCCAGTTTTTTCAGCCTGGTATTCAAATTACCCCTAATATTCTCAACCTTTAAATGTGAATATTTTTTAGCTAACTGTGCAGTCCTTCGTAAACTTGATGTACCAATAACACTATTCTCGGGCAATGTTGCAAGAGAGTAATTTTTTAAACCTTTCTGTAAAACTAAGGCATCACGGGGATCTTCTCTGAATAAAACAAGTTTTAAAAGCTTTTTAATGTTTTTTTTTTATTGTATTTTACCTCGATAATACTGCTCCTATTGCCATGCCATCTGGTAAAGTTGTCGGTAAGTCTTTCAAAGAGTGAACAACAAAGTCAACACGTTTACTGGCTAAAGCTATTTCTAATTCTTGAGTGAATAGTGATTTTTCGCCTATTTTCGGTAAGGGAATATCAAGAATTTTGTCACCTAACGTACTCATTGTAACTGAAAAAAATCATTCATTATTATAATGTTTGAATTCAATATACTTAAATGTTTGTATCATACCAATTTCAAAGTCCTTATCAGGATGAAGCTGTTTTAACAGTGCTATAACATGTCTTGTCTGGACTAAAGCCAGCTAAAATATTATAATAACATTAATAACTTAAAATTTAAAATAGATCAAATTTTTTCATAATTATTTTATTAAATATATATTATTTACCTCGCTTTTTCTAGACCCTACGTGAATTTTTGGTTCGCCACTCATTTTAGATCAGTACTAAATAATAATAAAATAATCTAACAGGTGTATAATTGATACTTATCTTTCTTTTTAACTAAAAAAATGACTTTCTATTTATATTTCGTAACCTTTGTAGCCCATTGAAAAGTAAGGTTATGTCAGACGTCAAAAACTTGGTTAAAAAAACCTTGGGTTAAAAAGCTTTCTTATTGGGAGTGGTTATTAACCCGGTTAATGGGGTTATTAAACTTTATTTTAAAGCACCAGATTTTGTATAAAATATATATTTTAGCTAGAAATACAAATGTAACAGTGGTAACAGTGGTATACCGTAACAGTTACACAGGACACAGGCCTTTTTTAAAGATAACTTGATAAAATTGATTAAACTAAATCGTAATAATATACAGTAGATTCTAAAGTGGGGTCTAAACGCAACGATTTGCTTGCGCCGACAAAACAATCAATAGCGTGTGGACAAGCAAATTGTACGATAAGTCGTTCCGTGTGGAGTGCGCTTAAGTACCTATTAGGCTAAAATTTGAAAGTCATCCAACAAATTGTATTTTTTGAATTATAATCTGGAAATAAAACAATGACTGATCAAAATTATTGTTATGAATTCATAGAGTTAAAAATTAAAATATGAATTGTATAATTTGTTTTGGTTTGGCACTATATTGCACTATATACCTGCACTATATTTTCCTATGCTCGTACAATCTGTATACAGGGTGTCCCAGGCTGAGCGTGTATTAGAAGTTTCTAGAGAACTACAATATCTAGATCGGAGATTTTTTGCGTTTCCCAACGAGATCTATGATTTAAAAATACCGTATGATCGAATAAAAACGGCGTCAGCGATAGCCATGAAATGAAGATCGCTGTTATTTTATATGTAAATTTATATGGGAAATGTCATCGATCGTCATTTCCCAGCCAACTGGACGCCGTTTTTTTCATACGGTATTTTCAATATGGCGGCACTTCCGGAAATACCGGAAGTTGATAATAACATCCTTAAGTTCAATAGGCTACCCCTAAAATTTAAACAATTTTTTGTCAATTTTCGGTATTTCCGGAGGTGCCGTCATATTGAAAATATTTTTAGTCGATATAGATCTGGTTGTGAAACATTGATGTGCAAAAAATTTTCTATGTATATATATTGTATTTCTCTAAAATCTTCTAATGCACGCTCAGCCTGGGGCACCTTGTATACAAGAACTTAGATAATTAATAATTATATCTTAATTTAAACACCATTGTTAAAAAATATTCCATGTCTTAATCAGATATTATATTTCTTATCATATTATTATCACAAATGCAAGTAAAATATAAGTTCGTATAAATGTATGTCCTGAAATCCTAAAATGCTTAGTTTCGAAGATACAGGGTGTAAAAGTTTCATTTTTATTTCGTTTTTTTCCAAATAATTTCTGAAGTAACGCCAATATTTGGATAAAATTAGTGTCTGGAACAAGTCTGGAAGTTTTTTGACATGAGAAATTTGATTTTGATATCAATATGACTCCTATTTGTACAGGGCGCCACCTATATATTTTTTAAATGGTTTGAAGAGTAATAATTTTTTCCGTACCTGTATAAAACTACTGAGTAAAAAAATATACATTCCGTTACTGCTTTGGCTTTGGAGCAGGCTTTGGAAGCAGAAGAAGGTATCTTAATGTAGTTTTTTAGTTTCTAATCTTACACCAGGGTATTTTAGGTACTTATATAATGAAGAAGTAGTATTATTTGTAGACTGATTACACATTTAATAAGTTATATTTGGTTTGGAATAGTACAATAGTACCATGCACAGAAAAGCATTCGTCCATCATTGCATCAGCGTTTACCTCCAATAATAATACCTATAATAGATACATATTTGTCTAGTCCTAAAGTGCCTAGAGCTTAACGAATACAAAAAAATATCGTAAATATAAAATGTCTGGAAAATGATCGAAAAAAACGGCGTCAAAGACGGCTGGGGAATGTGTTGATGTTTGTGGGATCTTTTGTGGAAAATAGACGCTATAGTTTAGGAAAAACTTTATATTGATCAACTTGACAGAAAAACCTTTTACATTATTAAATGCGCATAATTTTTCTAAACAAGACTTAATTATTCTCATAACCTCTAAATTATATATCAGCTGATTAGCCACAGAATACATAGAGTATAGAGTAATAATAACATGAGTATCATTCTTATCACACCCCCTCAATTTAAAGTTTTATATATAAATTAAATTGCCCAAAACATTAATATAAAAAAAAATCTTAAATTTATTTTGCTAAAATGCCATTTCGAAAATTAACAAATTTTTCTTTTGAAAGAGATTTTGTAAACATATCGGCATAATTCTGAGATGAGCTAACATATTTGATTGTAAATACCTTTTTCAAACATAAATCTTTTATAAAGTGGTATTTTATTTCAATATGTTTGCCCCTCTTGGAATTTTCGAAATTTTTCATAGTAGCTATCGCACTAAGATTGTCACACTTCAAAAACACTTCCTGATAATTGCCAAACTCGATCAAAAGTCCTTTAAGATTCACAAGCTCTTGCGCTGCTACAGCTGCTGCTACATATTCGGCCTCCATTGAACTGATAGCCACACAAGTCTGTTTTCGGGAAAACCATGCAATGGGGTTGTCATTATGGAAAGCTATGAAACCACTTACACTTTTTCTTGTTATTCGGTCTCCACCCCAGTCTGCATCACACATGCCTACAAGACCTGTATTTGACTTCTTCAAAGTAAGCCCATAGTTTTTGGTACTATTAAGATAGCGTAACACCCTCTTGCCTGCATTCCATGCACTTGTTGTCGGTTTGTCCAAGTATCTGCTCAATAGTGAGACACTTTGGCAAATGTCAGGTCTCGTTGTTATTGAAATGTACATTAAACTGCAAATAAGTCTTCGGTATGGTACATTTTGTAATATTTCTTCTTCTTCAGAGATATGGAAATTTACTTCCATGGGTGTTGCTATGGGTTTTGTTTGTTCCATTTCAAATTCTTTTAAAAGTTTTTCGATCATTTTTGTCTGGTGGACCTTAATATAATTTTCTTTAAATTCAAATTGCATTCCTAAAAATGATTGGATTTTTGTCATTTTTTTTACCTGAAATACATTGTAAAGATTTTGAATTAGTGTATCAACTTGTTCGTTTGTTCCCATTATGAGTGCATCGTCTACGTATAAAACTAGGTAGATATTTTCTTTTAGATACAAACAATAATCGTAGTTTGACCTTATAAACCCTAAATTCGTCATTATATCGTTAAATTTTATATTCCAGCATTTGGGTGAATTTCTTAAACCATATAGTGCCCTTTTTAATTTGAAAAATTTAAAATTGCTCACCAATCCTTCAGGCTTTTTGATGTAAACATCAGTATCAATTTCTCCATTGAGAAATGCTGTTGGCACATCTATTTGCTCAACTAAGTAGTTTCGTTCAACTGCAATGGATAGCATGAGCCTTATGGTAGAAATTCTACATACTGGAGCATAATCAAATTCTTCTCCATTATATGGAACTTGAAATCCCTTAGCCACTAATCTGGACTTCTTCGTGCCATCTTCCTTCTGCTTAAATATCCATCTTGTATCTATTGGTTTCACATTTTCTGGTAAAACATAAACTTCAGACCAAGTTTCTAGATTTATGTGTGAACTTAATTCTTTCTGTATAGATTCTTTCCATTCATCTTGTAGATTGGCTTCTTGAAACGTTCTTGGTTCTGTACTTGTTGCTGTAAGCAAACAGTAAGCAACATGCATGTCATAATCTGTCAAATAGCCTGGTCTTTTTGTTGTTCTTCCAGTTCTGGTAGTTGTTGTTTCTGGCACTTCTATTTCATTGTTAGGTTCATTTCCTGAATCTTGAAATTCATCTCCTGAACTGTTTGATAAAGTCTCATTTGGGTCAATGTTCTGGTCATTTTCTTGTAAATTTTCATTTTCTTTATCTTGTTCTGAAAAACTAATAGTTTTCTGGTTTGTTTCTTGCTTTTTATTATTATTTCTTTCTTTAAATTCCATTACTGATTCATCAAATCTAACATCTCTGGATTTTATTAGTCTCTGTTCATCTGGTGACCATAAATTGTATCCACCACCGCAATAGCCTACCATTACCACTGTCTTTGCTCTAGGATCCAGTTTGTTACCTTTTGGTAATTTGGTATACCAGGATCTGCACCCAAAAACTCTGAGTTTGCTTAGATCATTCCTATTATTCCAGATTTGAGAAGGTGTCATTCCTCTTTGTAATGCTTTTGTAGGGAGTCTGTTTAGCTCATAAACAGAGCATTTTAGAGCTTCACACCAGAGTGTTTTAGGTATTGCTGATTCTATGATTTTTGTTCTAATCTTGTCTAATAAAGTCCGATTCATTCGTTCAGCTGTTCCATTTTCTTGTGGTGTATGGGGCATAGTATATTCCAAAGCTATTCCTTTGTTCATGCAAAATACCTTAAAAGTATTCGATACAAATTCACCTCCATTATCTGCTCTTATAGCTTTAACTTTTACTTCTTTTTGTGTCTCAACTTCCTCAATAAAGTTTTTAATGTTCTGTTCAGCTTCATTCTTAGTCTTCAGTGTCTTTACTATGGTAAAATGTGAGTAATCATCAATGATTGTCTGAAAATATCTGGAACCATCATATGCAGTTGGATTAAAAGGACCACATATGTCTGTATGGATTAGTTCTCCTATTTTTGTTGTCCTTTTTACACTGTTTTTAAAAGAACACCTTACCCCTTTTGCTTCCATACATGTAGAGCATATTTTCTTTTCAGTTGGTAACCCAAGCTGTATTAACGCATCATTTCCTGGATGTCCAAGACGTCTATGCCACAATCCTTGCTCTTGTACTGTGACATTACACTGTTCTTGATCTTTTACCTCATCTAATTGTAGCAGGTACAACCCATTCTTCATTTCACATTTCAAAGAAAAACTTTCTCCTTTTATTGTTGTTTTATCTCTTTCTACTACTATAGTGTACCCTTTTGATGTCAATTTTGACGCTGATAATAAATTATGTTTTAAGTTTTTAACAATTAATGCTTCAATCGATATTTTCTGCCTTTGACATTGTGTCTTCAATGTTCCAATTTTGTTCGCTTGCAACTTTTCACCATTTGCAATATGTATTATTACTGGTCTATCTAGTTTTCTGATATTTACCATATATTTCTCGAGTTCTTCCTTTAAAAAGTGGTTACTAGCACCGGAATCAAGAACCATTGTTATTTTACCATCTGTTTCTAAACATAGGTTTGCTGCATAAAGTTGTACTTCACCTTCTGTTTCCTCTGTCATATGTGCTTGCCTGTCTTCTCTCTCATTTTGCCTGTAGTTGCGACCACCACCTCTATATGATCTTCCACTTCTCGCTCTTCTATTATATCCTCTAATATAAACACCTCTACCACGCCATGATTCACCTCTGTCTTTATTTTTAGGACATGATGATTGCCAATGTGATTGGCTTCCACATCTGAAGCAACCTGCTGAGGCTTTAAAACTACTTAAATCTTCAGATTTCGCTTTTATTTTCAGTTCTTCATCTAAAAGTCGTGACTTAACAAAATCAAACTTTACATTTTCTATAGTTTCTAAAGCTGTAACTACTGAGTTATACCTTTCAGGCAAAGATAATAGTAAATGGCATACCTTGTCGCTGTCATTCAATACTGTCTTGTGTTCTTTAAGGTCCCGTACAATGGTGTCAAATTTTAAAAATAAATCTTCCATGTTTTCACACTGTTCATTTTTCAGATTAATTAATCTGCGCCAAACTGCTAATTTAGTCAAAGAAGTTGTTCTTGTAAACACACTCTTCAAAGCTTCAATCTGTGTCTTTGCAGTCTCGCAATCTTTCACAATATCAAGGTGTTTATCTGATAACCCTGTGACAATAATTGCCTGTGCTTTGGCATCTTCCTTTTGAAAATTAGCCTTTACTGTAGCTGATTCTGTCGTTTCAGGTGGGTCATTCTCAAGTGCTTCTACACATCCTTCTTTTCTACATATCATCTTTATTCTAAACAACCAGTTGTTAAAATTATTGGCTTCTAAAATCGGTACAGCTAGTGAGCCCATTTTACTGTCAGTTGACCTTAACTTGAACTTCAATTTTCTTTAGCTGACTGCAGCGGAACTTTTTCTTACTTTTTCCAACTATTTATCTTAAACATCTGGGCCCATAACCTGTTGAGGTTTGTGGGATCTTTTGTGGAAAATAGACGCTATAGTTTAGGAAAAACTTTATATTGATCAACTTGACAGAAAAACCTTTTACATTATTAAATGCGCATAATTTTTCTAAACAAGACTTAATTATTCTCATAACCTCTAAATTATATATCAGCTGATTAGCCACAGAATACATAGAGTATAGAGTAATAATAACATGAGTATCATTCTTATCAGAATGACAATCGATGACGATTTTAAAGAGGTCATTCTCCTCTGGATGTTATTTAATAAAAATTGATATAAAAGTTGTCCGAAATTAACACTAATTATAGAGAGATTAAAAAAGAATAGAACGTTTCCAGACACACAATTTCCAAAAAAACTTTTTTTTCTCCAGTTTTAAAAATAAAACACCATTTAAAAATTATTTTTTTACTCAATAAACATAAATTACAATCTTCTTAAGGCCCACTGGCAATAAGCGCCATGCAAAAATAAAGAAGCCGTCTTTGACACCGTTTTTTTTCTGTCGTGTGCTATTTGTAATTTTTGTTTTTTAATTTGAGTTAAGCGGCATTTAGCAGTTATTCTGATATCTGATTTAAAAAAAAACGTAAAGAAAACTAATAAACACTTTTAATTCATATTTCCTGGAAACACAAAGTTTACTATTCTGGAAAAAAATTGTAATATTGGGAAATACATATCTAACCATAGGCGACTCGTTAGAAGTGATTTAATTCATTAATTCTATACTTTACACGCAATTGCTGATAAAAAAAACAATTAAAAATTATGCAAAAAATTGATTCTTACTGAACCAAACTGTCTCCATCCGACTTTTTCAGGATATCAAATATTTTTTCACTGAATTTTCGATGTCAGTCTTCTTGAAATGAAGCGGAAACTACGAATTTAAATCTCAAAACAAATGAAAAAAAATTTAAATTATTTTACATATTAACGTACATTATATTACGTACTTCTTAGACTACACCTCTGAATTTTTTTAATAAAAATAACAATAAAAATATTGACGTATATTTTTTATTTGCTTCTTTACTGCCAGAATTTGCCAACAAAATATTAAAGTTGCTTTACGAGTATATTTCATGTCTTAGAATAAAATTAAAAATCCGTATTTACCTAAGTACTCATACTCATACGTATTTCCTAAAAACATATAAAATCCTACTCATATACTAGATTATTTTTTCTTATATATATCCAAATCGTAGTTACAATAAGTGTGTTGATTACTGATCAAGTGTTGCTCTTCGACTTTAATCAACACCATGAAGTTAGAACTATTTTGTATTTTTGCGGTACTATTTGCGGTTAGAGCAGAAGAACAACGTTGGGCACAATTTAAGGTAGTATAGTATTTTATCAGTATTATACATATTCTAAAAGTACAATAAATTTTGTATATATACTGTGAAATTTAATTACTTTGGACAAACCCGTACTGTATCATCAATTTTAGACAATATCCCTTGAAATAGAGGTGTCTCTCCTTAAAAAAAAACAAATTTTCAGATCAAAGCAAGATATATCCTAAAAGAATATAAAATTCTGCGTACGCCTATATTAATATTTTTTTTCAGTAAATGTAAGGAACTCGTATCTTCTAGCCTATTAATTTCAGCTACTACTACTACTACTGCCATTACTCGCTAACGAGTATTTGACACGCATCAGAAGATGGATATGCTAGACGTTTCCTTTCATGAGCTTTTCTGTGACTGAAAAGCCCGATACGTGATGTTATCTCTCTTCCGCACTCCGGACATTCAAAAATCTTGTTACTTTGTTGCCTGTTTACTTTTTAGTTGTCCTTATTAACTGAATTTACTTATTCCGTTTAAGTTTTCGTGGAAAATATCCTGGTACCTTTTGAGTTGTCCACCCGGTTTCCTCTTACCGTATACAAGCTCACCGTAAAGAAGAGATTTTGGTAGGCGGTTTTCTTGAATCCTGCATACGTGACCAGTCCATCTTAAGCGGGATTTAATAATCATGAGTTCAGCGCTATAGCACTTAGCTTTTTCAAGGACCGATACGTTTGAGACATGATAGAATCATTTGATTCTTAAGAGTTGTCTAAGGAGTCTCTGTTACAACTTGTTTAATGCGTTCACAAGTCGCTTCCATATAACATCGTACGGTGAGGATTATTATTTCTAGGTACATTACAAGTTTCATTTTTGTGCTCAAGTCATGATTGTATAGAAAACTCTGTCTTTTATTTCCAGAATGATCTTGAGGCGCTGCTAATCCTGTGCTGAATTTCAGAGTCGATATTTGCCTTTTCCGAAATCAAACTGTTCAGGTAATTGAATTCCGCTACATATTCCAATAGGTCTCCGATTTTTAGAGCATTGTTGCGATCTTCCGGGGGAGTGCACATGATTTTAGTTTTATCAATGTTCAGCTTAAGGCCCAAAGCCTCGTATGCTCAGGTATATATGTTCAGCATTTCTTGTAATTGCTGTAACGTTTTTGCAATTACAAGGGTGGTCTGAAAAGTTTCCGACCTAACAAAGATACAAGACATTTTTTCTGAATATTTTATTTTATTTTTCAACATAGTCCCCTTGTAATTCTACACACTTTTCCCAGCGATGCTCCCATCTCTGTAACCCGTCCAAATAGTACTCGGCGTTTTTCTCTGCAAAATAGTGGTTCACGAAGGTGATTGCCTCTTCATTTGACGAAAATCTCTGTCCTCCGAGCGCAATTTTAAAATGAGGGAACGAAAAGAAGTCGCTAGGGGCTAGATCTGGTGAGTAAGGCGGATGGTCAAGCAGTTCAAACCGTAATTCGTGGATTTTCGCCATCGCTGAGGTGTGAGACGGTGCGTTATCTTGGTGAAACAGGGTTTTCTTTTTCTGTAAATGAGGCCGTTTTTCCGTAAGTTCTGCTTTTAGCTTGTCAAGTAATGATGCGTAGTATGCTCCTGTGATGGTTTTTCCTTTTTGAAGATAATCAATTAAAATAACTCCATGACTATCCCAAAAAACAGTCGCCATCACTTTCCCAGCCGAAATAACAGTTTTTGCTTTTTTTGGAGCTGGTTCTCCCTTTGCCGTCCACTGTTTGGACTGTATTTTTGTTTCTGGTGTATAGTGGTGTATTCAAGTTTCATCTACAGTAATTAATCGACGCCAAAACTCGGATTTATTGCGCCTAAACTGCGCTGACATAGCGTTGGAAATGTTCATACGAACACGCTTTTGGTCTAACGTGAGCAAACGCGGCACCCAACGCGCGGACAGCTTTCTCATGCCTAAATCTTGATTTAATATGTGACAAACACGTTCTTTTGATATGTTCATAACCTCTGCTATTTCTCTCACTTTAATTCGGCGGTCGTCTAGCACCATTTGGTGAAGTTTGGCGATGCTATCGTCGGTAGTTGCAGTTTTTGGACGTCCCGAACGTTCATCGTCTCCCAAGCTCTTACCGCCACGTTTAAATTCAGCTGCCCAAAATTTTACTGTGGTAAATGATGGTGCAGAGTCCCCATACACAGAATCCAACTCATGTTTAATTTGTGTAGGCGTATTGCCTTTCAAAACCAGATATTTAATGACAGCTCGATACTCGATTTTGTCCATTTTCACAAAAACACTGACATCAACTCACTCAAACGACTGTTACATAACAACTGCGCATCCAAAATGGCTGAAACTTTGGTGAATAACTGTCAACAGATGAACAATAAAAATTCACTAGCTTTTATCTACGAGTGCTGCCATCTTCATGTTGAGGTCGGAAACTTTTCAGACCATCCTCGTAGAGCGCAATCATCAGCGTATTGAAATTTTGTGATGAATTTTATACGTATTTTTGCCCTGAGTCGTTTTATGTTGAACAGACCGCCGTCGTATATCTAATGATCATTCCTCTTTCCTACAGTTTGTTGTCCACTATAATGGAGAGCGCTGCCATGAATATATTGAATAGGAGAGGCACAATAGGGTTATCCCTGTATAAAACAACTATTTAAGCTTCTTGTGAACCGGATGTCCAACTTTCGTACCATCTTTTTGGTGGCCTGGGTGTGTTGGGTATTTGTGTTCGCACCCATTTTGCTATTTTATCGTGGTCCATTCTTTCAACATGGTCTTCCCAATGACGCCTTCTTGATCTTCCCCACCTCACTATGTCTTGCACTCCCAGTTCTTCTCTGATATCGTGGTTTCGTTCATTCTATCACTTATAGTGACTCCGCGTATTGTTCTTTTAATACTTTCATTTCTGTTTTTCTGAGTATTGTCTTTGTTTTTGATGTTTCGGCTGAAGTCTCTCTAGCATAGGTAAAAAATAAAGTATTTCCGATAAAAACGTATGTTAATATATCCTTAAAAGAAAGAAAGATAAAAGGCTAATACTAAAACATTAATATTATTATGTTTTTATTGTCTGTATTAAAATAAATTCAGTATTATCATTATTTTACAATTTTAGCTCGACAATTCCATTACATTCTCCAATGCTACCGAAGAAGCAGTGCGATACAACATATTTGAAGAAAATTTAAAGAAAATCGAGGAACACAACAAACTATACGATGAAGGAAAGGTCTCTTGGACTCAGAGCGTCACTGAGTTTACTCATCTATCTGCTGATGAGTTTTCAGCTTTGCTAACGTACAAAATCAGAAAAACTGATACAGTTAGAATGAATCTATTGGAGGGTAATTAACTGTATTTATATCATCATCTTCATCATTGGAAGCTCATTTATCCATTTACAATTATGGTGTAGTAGTAGATTGTGCGGGAGGGGGATGTTAATCACCGCGACCTTATAGACACACCTATTGTGTTCGCCTTTATTGAGTTATAACTCGTCGTACAGTCTCAAGGCTTTGACAAAAGCCAGTATCTGGCATCAGTCCGTACCAAAGTTTATGACACGAATGGTTGTCGTCTCGGCGCAGTCAGTGATGAGATGTTCTGGCGTTTGCTTATTCTCCCACAGAATCTGTTTTTGCCGTTGTTTCTTAGCTTCAATCTAGTGAGGTGTTCATTGTAGACAATGTACCGATAAAAACTCCGTGACAATCCGAATATTGTTCTTATTTAAATCAAAGAAAATCTTTGATTTTACTCGGTTGTCAGTTCTGAGTAAGGTTCTGAGAGATATCTTCGAGTGTTTTAGATTGTTAGAGGATTCCTATTCCAGGTTACGGATAGAGTCTTCCAGGTTCTTGACTTTCGCTTTAAGTTGGTTTTAGGAGGAAGTTGGTTTTAGGAGGAGGGTTTTAAGTGTTCGCTCCTTTTCTAGCTAGATCGTTTGCTTTTTCATTGCCTTCTATCCCTTGGTGGGTTGACACCCAGAGTTGATCACTCTTAAGGCTGCTTGACTATCGGATGAGAGACTATTTATTGTTTCCAATAGTTCTATCTAAGATATATCCATATAACACACAATATCCGCAGGATATTCATAGAATATCGGAATGTCCCATTATAAGATCATCTTATAAAGACATCTATAGGATATCCTCCAGACATCCTGAAATCCTGTAGATGTTTCAGAATAGAATATCCTATGGATATCTCTGTCGTATATCTAATGTACATCCAGCTGAGATATCCAAACATGCTAATGATAATAAAATATCCTAACAATATCGTCTAGATATTTAGGAAAAATAAATAATGTACTACTTTTTATATTACATAAAATGCAATAAACCATACAGATAGATATATATTACGTCAAGGCAACAAAATATCCTGTTGGTATCTTCTGGATAATCTGGATATTTATGAGCTTGGCCACTCCCACTAATACAGAGAATTTAAAACGCCCGCGCAAAAAATTTCCCACAATCCTCAATCCATCACAATCCATCTCCACAGAAGTGTCTAGTTCTAGCAGTCAACTATTAAGCTTGACCAATCAGGTTGGTTAGCGTGGTTATTTGGAGTGTGTTAATTCATTTGTGTTTGTAAAAAACTCTAACGTGATTGGTCGGGCTTAACAGTTGCCTGCTAGGGCTAGACACAAGTCATCTCGACAGTTGTTTGTTTTTGCATCGTGTATTATTCAGTTCTTTGATTTAGTGAAATTCGAGGTGAATTCGGTCGTTTGTCGATATTGAATGGGCTTAAAAATGACTGAAACTAATAAAACTGGTCGAGTTTGACTTAGTTTTTTTCTTATACTCATAGTTCTAGCCATGTTCTAGCCATGTTCTAGCCTTGTTCTAGCAGAAATTCTATCCTAACCTCAACTAATGTCGAAAAACGACGAACGACTCAGGGCGGATTTACCCAATTCCTTAATTGCTATTCCTTAATTCTTATTTCTTAGTCTCTAATTTGTAATTCTTAGTACACAATTCTTTATCCCTTATTTTTTTAGAGACAGTTATCTAATGTCTTAATCCTTATTTCTTAATTCTTAAAATTGACACAATGAAAAGTTTGTGACAAAATTATAGGTGAAAATTTGTTGAAAAGCGCTTGTTCTTTATCCCTAAACCATAATGCCCTAAACCCATTTTCGTGTTTGATCTATTCGAACAGAAATCCTATTTTTGTTTAAATTGTGAGTTTTTGGAATGTGTGGTGTTAGAAATTATACCTGTATCCTGTGTGCTTAGTTTGATGTAAACTGTTGCTGCTAGACATAAACTGCTAGACTCCATAAAGGGTAGTATAATCTGGTATAATACCAAACGATCGAAAAAAAAACGGCTTCAGAGGTGGCTTGGAAATGAAGATTGCTGTTATTTTGTATGTAAAATTATATAGGGAATGTCATCGATCGTAATTTTCAAGCCAATTAAACGCCGTTTTTTTTTCGATGGTACAGTATAAATTGAAAGGTCTTAAGCTCTGGGTCTTAAGTCATACAAATAGACTTCTAAATTTTTAAGTACATTCTTGGTATGTCATCCACTGGGAATTGCAGGAGTGAAATTTTCCTTTTGATGACGTTCCGAGCTCCTCAGCTAACGATTCTTCTAGTACTGTTTCCGTCAATGATCAGAACGGTCTAATACTACCATTGACAATGTGCAATGGTGTTAGGTCTAGAATGACCTCCATTGCTGCTGTTGGAATATATTGGATATTAAATTTTACGATTTTTTTAGGATTCAACTTGTCAGTTCCAGAAACTTTTGACTGGAAAGACCAAGGCAAAGTTACGAAGGTGAAAAATCAAAAAAGTTGCGGATCCTGTTGGGCATTCGCTATTGTAAGTACCATTCTTAACTACTAGTTATCTCCTAGTTTAGAAATACTATAGATATGGAGATAGAGCATATGAGCTTCGATTAGTGCTCATCCAAAAATGTTCTTATGTATTACGTATAATTCTGTATAATGATGAATATTTGGTTAATCTTGAGTAGATTGCAGCTACAGAATCACACTACCTTATCAAAACGAACCAGACCATTATGTTAAGCGAACAAAACTTGGTAGATTGTTGTCCACGTAAATATTCCTGTTTTGGCTGCGATGGTGGCTCGTTGATTGGAGCATGGCTGTAAGTATAAAATAACAATAATAATAGTGATAATATAAATAACACTCGTCTGCAAAATCACTTTTTTTCTCGAGCTCTGGCACCATACTTCCTGATTCAAAATATTTATATGTTATAGGTATATGATGGAAACAGGAGTAGCATTAGAGTCAGATTACCCATATACGGGGAACCAAGGAACTTGCCAGAACAAAACTAAACTGTTCAAAATAAAAAAATATGTGGTGAGTATTATACAGGGTGTCCCAGAAATAAGTGCAGATATTTTAAGGGGTGGTAGATCTGGTCAAAAGAAACACATTTTCTCTTTGCCATGTTTAAAATAAATTAAAAATAACCGAGTTATTTAACTTTGAAAATTTTAAAAAAATATGGAAATATTTTATCGTAGTTACAAGGATTTTAAATTCAAGACATTCGAAGTAATCAAATTTCTATTCAATTTCAAAATAAAACAGAGAAACACGAAAGGAAAGAAACAAAACGGTTGAATCTAAAGCAATCAAAACATGTGAAAATATTTGCACTTATTTAAGATTTACCCTGTATAAAATTAACTAATGGAATCAACAAATTTACTGTAGTTTTTTCACAGCTCTTACCAAAAAACGAGGTTTCTATGAAAGAAAATGTAGCCAATGTGGGACCCTTAGCTGTCTCGCTGAATGCAGACCTACTCCAGAACTACAATAGTGGAATACTGGACGATTCCACTTGTCCAACCAACAAAAACAACCACGCCGTCTTGGTTGTTGGTTACGGCAATAAAAAAAGCACAGACTACTGGCATGTCAAGAACTCGTGGGGTAGCAATTGGGGTGAAAGTGGGTACTTTAAGATAAAACGAGGAAGCAATACTTGTGGAATCCAACAGGAGGCACAGTATCCAGTGTTATATTAATTTGTTTGTTTTTATATTACCGTTGATTGAAGGAAATAAGTTATAGTTTAGTCCCAGTTCTTTCAACCAACGATATTACTTAAAATACCGAGGATTGTAGGTAATAAATAAATACACTGTAAAATTTTAAAAACAAAAAAAGTTTTTATTTAATAACCACATCAATTTTGGTAACTGGTTGTGTCAATAATTGTTATACAAGGTAATAAAGAAATAGTTCTTTATAAAACAGTCTGTATCTATAGTACAGTATGTCCTCTGATTGTCTTTACAAGAGGAAAAACTTTTTATTATCGACATTTTGAGTAATGCATCCTTCATAAACATTTTTGCTTGTTCTAAAATGGTTAATCCCGTTTATACTTTTCAAAATTTCCATACCGTTTTAGAGAAAATTAAAAAAAAACATGAAAACATAATTTTTTTCCTAAGTCCTAAAAATTCCATTTTCATTCTTGGATAGATTGTTATTAATAAAATTTTAATTAACGAATTAATTAACATATTTTTTGCCGTTTTAAAATGTTAAAGAAGCACAAATTTATTTAGTTCAATGCTACGGAAAGGGTATGGATAATGCTACGGATAATAGTTATCGGAAAATGTGATATTTTAACAGCAGCAAAAAATATGACGTTAATCAGAATTAATAATAACTGTCTATCAAAAGATGAATCGAAATTATATTACCATAAACGACTTTTGATCATCCAAATCAACAAAATTTTCATGTTTTCTTTAATTTTCACTAAAACGGCATGGAAATTTTAAACAGTATAAACGGGATTAACCATTTTAAAACGAGCAAACATTTTTTGAAGAATGCATTTTTTTGAAAATGTCAATAATAAGAACATTTTTCCTGTTAAGGTGGCTACACACACTCTACTGCAAGCTTGACAAGCATGCATGAACAATCTTTTTGTACAAGCCATGCATAAAATATCTTCGCCGCCACACGGTACATGCATAGTTTAAGGAAAAGGGTAGTTGCCATAAGTAGTTGCACTCTCGCAAATATTTTCTGCCAGTTTTTGCAATCTGTTGAATATCGGCAGATTCTGTGTTCTAAATTTTTAACGGTTTCGCAGATATTCGCAGTATTATATTACATATTATGGCTCTTTCAACAGTAAATTTTTATCAAAGCCACCTAATATGATCTTTGTCTGATATTTATCGTTGAAAATCCCATATGTAATGAAATACAGAAAATATTTGCAAAACGGTTAAAAATTTAAGAACACTTTAAATACAAAAAATGTTCACCTTTTAATTCTACATCTGAAAGAAAAATAATATACAAGGTGTTGCATTTAAAAAAAAATGAGATACAACATTTTAAATATTACGATTTTGGTGACGCCATAAAAAATATCCTGTATACGATAAAGTAAATTTTTCTACACGAAATTATTCTGGTATCCTTCATGTTTAAGAAAACATAGGTAAGTATTAATAAAGTTATATTCACTATAGATTTTTACCACTTTTCGTATATAATGTTTTTAATCAAAGTTTTAGTAAATAACAAATAGAATGGCAACACCGCAAGAAAGACAGTGTAATATATACAGAATTTTATGCCGAATCCAGTTATCTACAGAAAATTAAACTTGTTTTAAATCAAAAAAAGTTGTAGAAAATCTCTGAAATAGATAATTCCGCATTTCTTCCAATCAGAAGATTTACAGATACAGAAAAATTGTTACCTACCCGAAATGTGAAAATATTCTGTTTTCAAGCAAGTTTTTACTGGATGATCAATTTTTTTTATTTTATTTTATTGTGAACTCATATTTTCCTAAATACATATCTGTGAAACTATGGCGAGTGCCACGACTATACTTTGCCTACTTAATAGACTACGACTATACAGCTACGTCAGTGGTCACGGGAGGCGAGAACAAGGTCATATAAAGTGGCAGAAAAAGAACAAAGGATTTGACAAGGAGTAAAGCTACTAGTTTCCTTATACTATGGTACATGCATGCTTGAACAAGCTTTAGTTTATGCCGCGAAAAAGAAGAAGGAATCCTGAAGGCATTTATCTTTTTAATAACGGCATCCTTATCGGCTTGGCTGTCAATTAATCTATACTTATTAAGTAAAATTTTGTATGCTGCATCCTTCTTCACCCTATCATGATATTCTAGTGATTTAATTCGCCAAAGATACCGGCTGATTTTCGTATGCGCGAATAAAATCTTCCAATAATCCTCGATTGCTACTTGTCAGATCGCTAGACATGATGGCGACGCGACGTACAGGTCACTTACGATCACGGACTGAACTAATTGTTTGTACAAGCTGAATACGTGTGGTACACACGTACAGTTTCGCTTGCGCAAGCATGGCTTGCCCAAGCTAGCATGATTCAAATTCAATCAATCATCAAGCGGCTTGCACAATTAAAAAGCTTGCGCAAATTTTCCCTACAGACGCTACAGTTTGCTTGTACAAAAAGATTGTTCATGCATGGTTGTCAAGCTTGCAGTAGTGTGTGTAGCCACCTATACACAGACAACCCGGGAACATAATGTATAGGTACATTTTTTAATTTTTTTAAGTTACTATACAACTATTAACATTAAACCCTTCAGCACGTGAAAAATCTGTCACTGAGGTTTCCATATTGGTTCCAAAACTGTCAACACATCCATCAAAATTTTCGTGAAATAAACCATCGGTCTCTTTGATTAAACTCATGTTTGATGGTAACCCTCCAATAAAAAATATCCCATCCAGTGCCACACTCAATAAACCTAAATTTTTATCAACTTTAACTACAAAAAAAAAACGAATATAAAATATATTTTATTTTCCAAGCGACTGAGATGTGAACTAAAGCAGGCTCCAGACGCAACGACTTATCGTACGATTTTACTGCGACGACAAAACGTTGCAGGTAAAACGTAGCGTGTGGATAGCAAGTCTGAACGTAAGGTAAAATCAAATTCAAATAATGTTTGACCTACGGCAATGCACGCATGAGTTTCTCAGTGAGTTCATTGAATTGTACAAGAGTTAAGCTAGTCGTTTAACTTGCCTTTTTAACTTATTTAAACAAAACTAGCCACCAACAGTGTTTGCTCCATGATGATATGGCAGAATACAAAAATACATGAACGACAAGTCGTTGTAAATGACACAACTTGGTCTGTATCTTTTACCTGTAACGGTTTTGTCGACACAGGCAAATGGTACGATAAGTCTAGGCGTGTGGACCATGCTTTAGGATCCTTAACTTACCTTTTATTGTTTTTCCATCAATTTTTAACAAAAATGGAAGTAATTTTAGCTCAATATTATGCCACAAACCGTCTGATACTTTATAATACGGGGGTATATCTATAAATTTATCTTTACCATCATATGAAGAAATAACAATTTTTAAATATCCATTTTCAAGTCCTATACCCACAAAATTTTTGTTCTTAAAATACAAAACTTGTTAAATTATGTTAAACGATATAAAAAATAATGTGTTAGTGTTACTTTTTTGGTCCACAGTATAAGTCCGTCGTTTTTGGCAGTAGTAAAGTTCAGAGATAATGTTTGAAGCTCCATATCTCTGATGTTTCTTTTTTTATCTTTTAGTTTTTTACTATTAGATAGCTTTGGCCTGTAAAAGAAGGTTGCTTTACCTAAAAACAATTAAATGTGAGCGTCTTCTTCAAAAGCGAATATGTCCAACAAAAATAAAGTTTTGAGATAAATCTATACAGGTAGTTAATTTGTTTATTACTCGCGGCAAGAGCTATATGGTTGAAATATATGGCAACCTCGGCCCGCTCGTCGAGAGACGACGCGACGCGACGGGACGAGTCGGCAGCTTAGCTTAGTACTCATTTGAAATGTAGGCAGTGTTGCAATTCTGTTCCCCAATAAGTAACCGTCCAGTTAACAATTTTGTATACATACCTATATCGTATTCTATCAATTAGAATTATCAGGGTTTTACATTTCAATATATGTTATTATTTTTTGCTGTTATCAATTGAGAAAGAAAATACTCATTGAAACCAGAGATATAGAGGTGTATAGGTGAAACTTACTTCGATTTCAGTCTCACAAATTCCTCCTTCAAAACCAACTCGACATAGACAGGTTGCGTTTTGACAGATGCCATTTTTGCATGTTTTATCCGAACACTTTGATACTAGTTCGCATTTTTTGCCATAGTACGGTTCAATACACGAGCAGTGCGGTACCAAGAACGAATCTAACCTAAAAATTAACATATTCTAAGAAAATATTTAATATTTAAACAATATTTATTAAAAGAAATATATTTTTTTAAAATTTAAGTATAAACGGGATTAACCATTTTAGAATAAGCACAATTTTTTTATGAAGAATGCATTTTTTCAAAATGTCAGCAATAAAAAAGTATTTCCTCTTGTAAAGACAATCCGGGGACATACTGTATATTGAAAATCCTTTAAATAAGAAGATTAAGAATCAAAAAACTTAGTAGAACGCGATGGGGAAATAATATGGCCTTACGTTACTTGCAACAAACGTACCAACATGTTCCACCGTGTAGGCAACTCTCCGCTCCACAGGGTGTTCCATCACAATCTCCGACGTTTCTTGCATCCAGGATATTTTCGGGAATAAGTGGAATAATATCTTCATCTACAGAAAGATGCCTTAAGCATCCTTTAAATGGTTCTGGAAGATTGCTTGAAACCGATATTGGTAACTGGGACATATCGGGTAAACCACCTAAAAAAATGTTGAATTCAAAATTTATTCTTCAATTATTCTTTCTTTTCAAAATATCCTTTATATTATAAATGGTGTAATTATTAGTGTCTTACCCAGAAATAGATTGCTGTTTGGAATACTTAAAGTGAATCCATGGCCCAGAACTCCAATATTGATTATGTGATCTACGTACAAATACACTTTTCTTCCAAAAACACCAAACTGTACTTTGTGCCATACACCTTTTAAGAGCAACTTTGAACTTCTCACAACCAAATGATCTTGAGAATTTGATCGTGTTCTCGCTGTAAAATAATGATAATAATATGTTTTAATATACGCAATGCAACATGTTTTAAATAATATTTTTTAAAGAGGGTGCCCCAATATACTGTACACATGGAAGTATGAGGAAGATGCATATATTTTATTTTTCGACAGAAACTGTTCAATTTATTAGAATAAATATGTGTAAATGCAAAAAAAAAACTTTTTTCTTGAAAGCAGTACCACAATTTTATAAAACGGGCCATTAAAATACTATTGATAACGCAAACGACGCCTCGCGAATTGAAACGATATTCTATTGGTCTGACGTCACCCGCCGTTCTCGTCGACGCGCGATGGCCAGCAGCAGCCAGACGTGTTCCGTTTATGTACGTATTTAGGTGGCGTACTAAGACATTTTGTTGCTTTTAGCGTTGATTGAAGGAGCTTTTTATGCTTTTTTGTGCAGTTATCATTTGTATGTGTTGTGTGTTAACTAATGGCAGATTCCGGGTTTGTAAAAGCACAATCATATAAATTGCCAAAAGTCGATGCTTTTATGTTGGCTGCTTTTATAAATACAAATTCCCAATTTATTGGTGCTGAATTACGATAAAAAAAAACAGAGAGGTATGTAACATTTATTCTTTGTAGTACTGAGGCATATTTAAGTATAAGTAGGTACCTACTGTTACGAACTTTTATATAGTTATAAATATTAATGTTATAAACTTATTTTTCAGATCAGGTAGGGAGACGTATGGAGATAATGCTGTAGGTTATGTAGAAGTGAAAAGAGACAAAAATATTTGTTTAGTACGTGGAAAAATAATTCCAGAGCATAGCGTGAAAAAGAAAGTTTTTTTATATATTGACACCCCCTTACCCTTGTTATTTTTAAAGATTGTTTTTTTACGAAATTATAGGAAATAAATTGTTTATCACTAATGAAAATATTATACAAGGTGTTCCATAAGCAAATGCCAAAATTAAGTTACTTTTTTAAGTGAAACACCCTATATATTTTTGGATTCTTCGGAAATTTCTAGATATTCCTTATATATTTCATGTATAATATCCTATGCCTATCTTCAAATGTTTACCAAATATTGAAAAGCGAAAAATACCTACTATTTTCTGGACCACCGTTTTTGAGACACCCTGTATAACTAGAATTAATTTAAAAGAGAGTATATGAAAAACCATGCAACTTTTTTATTTAATGTTTTCTTTTAAAACATGCAGTTAAGGCTGTATGTGGGTGTCAAAATTAATGAATAACCCTGTACATTCAAATTTCATATAACTTATGTAAGACAATATACATAAATATATGAACTTACATCAAAATGATCTTCGCAACAATAAATCGTAAAAATAGAGGATAATTTAACGTTTTTCTTTTCATCTCTTCTCATGGCCTTGGACCATTTTTTTCTGTTTTCGCTCATCCATTACTATTTATAAATATCACTAATGACTAATTATGTATTAATTAACACAAATAACTAAAATTTTGATTCGGATTCAACAGCGTTTAAAAGCAAACTGTGTAAAATAAACACGCGTCTGGCTCCACTCAACCAGAAGAACGGCGGGTGACGTCACAGCGGCAAGGCGCGGTAGAGAGCGTTTGCCCGGTCATTTAAATTAACAATATTTAATTATTTTATATTAGAGGCATTCCTTATCCGATATCAACGATTTTTTTTGTTCAATTTGTAATTATATGAACTATTTTTTAAAACCATTATTTAAAAACATGCATTTTCCTCATTGCTATGGGTTGTTCACCACATACGACACGGAGTATTGTAGCTAAACGATTAGATTTTTACAAATTTTAAGTTTTGGGTTCGTTGAAGAACTATTTGAGCTACAATTTTGGAATAATTTTACAAGATACGAAGTGTCCCAAATAAGTAAAAAATGCTATAGTTGAATTTTTTTAAATGGAACACTGTATATTATTCTATTTTTAGATTCTACGATTGAAATAATGGTAAATTTTATTAAGGTTTATCACACTTAAACCTTACCGTTTTTGAAATATTTTCAATTTTGTGAAATTGCAGTAAAAATTTTAAGGCTTCATTTCTCCAAGGGTATCAAAGTTTTTAATTTACTGAAGTTTATTTATTGATCAGTTATTGTGTTGCAATAATCAAAATTATACTACCTTGTATAGAGTGTCTAAAATTTTATTTTAAATAACAATAAACCAAACGGCAATAACTTGTTTAATTTAAATGGAACGCCCTGTATATTTTAGGAGAATCAGATGCATAATTTAATTGTCTGTCAAATTGTATTATACCACTTTTTACCTTCCCCTTCAAGTTTTCGTAGAAAATGCATTTTCTTATAATTTAGACCTCATTTATCAATATACCCATGGACGATTGTTTTTAAAGCAACAAATGTACAAAATGTACAGGCTAGTAATATTATCGTTTTTAACAAAATGATAATATTACTAGCCCATTTGTATGCAAAAAGAAAACTATTTAAATCTTCATAAAATACTTTTTACCACACTGTCTAATACACATAAAAAATTCAGTTTTTTAGTTTTTGGAGCAATTATTATTAATCAGTGCAAACAGTCAATTAATGTAGTTTGAATACTGGAATCATATTAATTGGTCCTCTTTAACAAATATTTAAACAGTTTTTTTTTATTTTTTAATGAAATAAACAAACTATATCGACCATATTAGTATCTGTACTCTTTAAAAATTTGGTACATCTTAAAAAATAATCTAAAATGTCAGTATTCCATGGGTATATTGATAAATGAATTTAAAATTACAAGAAAATGCATTTTCTACGGAAACTTGACGCTATAGGTAAAAAATGGTATAATACAATTTGATAGACAATTAAATTGTGCATCTGATTCACATAAAATATACAGGGTTTTCCATTTAAATTAAACAAGTTATTGCCGTTTAAAGCTAGTAATTATTTAAAATAAAATTTTAGACACTCTGTATAAGGTAGTATAATTTTTATTATTGCAACACAATAACTGGTCAATAAATCAACTTCAGAAAATATTTAGTATTAAAAACTTTGATACCCTTGGAGTAATGAAGCCTTACAATTTTGACTGCAATTTCACAAAATTGAAAATATTTCAAAATACGGTAAGGTTTAAGTGTAATAAACCTTTATCAAATTTACCTTTATTTGAATCCTAGAAACTAAAAATGTAATAATATACAGGGTGTTCCGTTTAAAAAATACAACTTTGATATTTTTTTATTTATTTGGGACACTCTGTATCTTGTAAAAATATTTTTAAATTGTAGCTCTAATAATCCTTCAACGAACCCAAAACTTACAATTTGTAAATATCTAATCGTTTAGCTACAATACTCCGTGTCGTATGTGGTGAACAACCCTGTATAGGTTACCATGATTGGAATTTCATTACACGTAAAAATATTTATATCGGAGATGGAAAATTAACCTCCGTAAACTGACTCAGATACTGGTTTTTGTCAACCTCCTGAGACTGTATGATGAGTTATAACTCAAGGAAGGGAAACACAATAGATCTATAGATAAGGTCGCGGTGATCCCCCCTCCCATACAAATTTCTCTGATCTATGTCCACCGAATACTGGGACACCCTGTAGATGAAAATATATACACAAATTACCTGAATGAATATTTAGTTCTAATAATCCGTTTTGTAGGGTTAGACATAGAAAACTTGAGTCTCTGCTGCCTACAAAAAGAATTGTACCTGTATCTTTTAAAGTTCTTATTTCAATCTCAATATTAAATTTGTTATTATGAACGATAACAGGATGTATGCGGACATATGATCGTATTCCTGTAAAGCTTAGGTCTGTAAGTGTTTGATCTAAAAGAAGAAAAAGAAACAGTGACTAAGTATTAACAAAAAAAAAGAAATACAAAAATATAGGTTTGTTCCAACCAGCATTTCGGGATCGTTTCGAAATCGTACTCGAATCGGTTTTCTTGCACTTTGTTAGCATGCGCAGACTTCGAATAGTTTCGTGACGGTGCAAAAAGTATCAACGTTGGAACGCTTTGTGAATTGTTTTCGCAAGTGTCAAGCTTGCGTGTATCGATCGGTTTTTTGTTTTTTGTTTATAATCTCATAACATACCCCTATTATTTTTGTTTGCAATTTGCAATAATAATTATTATTCTTAAAATGGAGAATCAGAATCCAGTAATTGTTGGTAAGTGTTGTTTCAACTGTATACTCACTAACTCACATACCTATCGTCTCTTTTATGATCCTGTTATGCGTAGTTTCCTGTTATTTCATTGCAGTGGTAGAATCTTTGAACATTAATTTATAAATAAAAAATTAATTAAAATTTCCGAACGATTCACTCCACACAAACTCATAAGCAAAAGTATAACGCACACGTATTCCAATTCGTAAAAAATAACCAAGACAGAAGCATCAGCCGGACGCCGGACCAGAATTAGCTGTTAAAAATCGATAATTCCTGCCAATATGATTTAATGCGCAAGTCAACCCAAACAGTTCTCTTTGGACCATGTACCAAAATTACCGTTCTGAAATCGTAACTAAACGATCCCAAGGTAGGTTGGTACGCAAATAGGATCGTCCGATAACCGTTAAATCTCGGTTGGAACACATTTGAATTACTGCGTACGAGCCTGATCGTTCGGTGACGGTTCTGCGGCGGGTTGGAACAAACCTAATATTAGCTTAATTTTTTATTTCATACGTCCTTTCTTCTTACTTTTTTCGCAATATCTCCCTGTCTGTCCGAACGGACAGTCACATTCATAATCTGTCAAAAGGGGAACGCATCTTGAACTGTCCGAACATTTAGTTATATTTTTATCACAAAGGTTATTTCTTGAAGAACACAAAGGACCATACCAGTCATCTTGACATAAACACCTTAACAACAAAAAGAAGAACACGAGTATATACCATACAATCGAAAAAAAAAACGGCGTCAAATGACATTGGATGATAATTTTGGCGAGGGCAAGCCCTATAGACTTCGTTATTTACTTGGCCTGTACTCCTCTTTATTTTTTAATGGCGCTTACTGCCAGTTAAAACGGCAAAAATTATTTTTAATTGGTGTAAGTTGTTTAAAATTCGAGAAAAAATAGTTTTTTGAAATTCTTTTTTCATCTTTCTATAATTATTAGTGTTAATTTTTGAAATTTTTATGTCGATTTTTAGTAAATGACGTTTAGAGTTTGACCTCGCCAAAATTATCATCGAACGTCTTTTCCCAACCGTCTTTGACGCCGTTTTTTTTTCGACACCTGCTCTAGATCGACACTTACATGAACGTGTTTCCATGATGTAGACAGGCTCCTCCATTTTGACAGCTCCTGTCATAGCATTCAGTGGTACCACATTGTCCTACAGCTCTACCAACAGCTCTAAGAGCTCCTTGGAGTGGCAGAACTATGGTACCCATTCGAAGTTCCAGATCGAATATACACCCTGAGAACCCTGTGTGAAATGGTAGATCATGTGGCAAGGTTGAAAAATTTCTAGTGTGATGTCCACCTAAAGAATATTATTTATTTATTGCTATGAATAAAAAGATTAAGGAAGGAGTATAAAGGTTGATTCTCACTATAAATTCCGTATCGGCTCCCTTCCGTTTACATAAAATATTATATCATGTAAATGAATAGGACAATGCACACTATCCGTTCTGTTTCCCTTCCGTTCCATATCCTTTCCTTCCATACATTTTTTTGGCGGACGGACTGAAGCGTATAGAAAACAGCGTTGTCAAGTTCTTACATTTGTGCCAGCTCTGTTAACATTTTGCTGATATTTATTTATTCTTTCACCTCTTAATTATATCTATTACCTTTTTCAAAAGATACATACTTTTAAAATAAAACTTTAGTAATGATATAAATTCTACAATAAAAAGTATGGAACTGATACGGAACGGAAGCTTACGTATAGCGTCAGTACAATAAAAAATACGGAACGGATATGGAATGAATATGGAATGGAAACGGAAGGTATAGTGATAATCAACCTTTATGCTATCTATGTATTCATGCAAGGTCATTAGCGTAACTAGCAATTTATCCTGGGTTGGGCCTGGGGGTCCTGGGGTTGAGCCCAGGAGGGGGGCTAGGGCTTTTGTTTTATTAAAAATGAAAATTAATTTTGAAAAACACATTTTTTGAATAAAACGTTTACATGAATTTCTATCAATAAATTTCATAGACTTGGTTATCAAACCGTGTTCCCGTAGATTACTTAAATAGCTACAAATTTTCTAAAAAAATAAAAGTTAACACATTTTTTGAACACAACAAAATAATATTAACTAAACAAAACTAGAAAACGTCATTTTTACTGCATCACAAGCAAATAAAAATTAATACGTAGCCAAGAGTCATAATTCAGGATTTCTCTGGGGGGTGCCCAGCAGTATCTGGGGCGGGCCCGGCACCCCTGTAGTTACGCCAATGTGCAAGGTAGACGGAGATGGGGACCTAGGGTGGGGATTCTTGACAGTTCTGTTTGGCGTTCTATTTGACATATTTGAATTTGATTTGAAATTTTGTGAATGTGTCTGTCTTTACTGACCTTATTTTATGATATTTATTATTTATTCTACTACTGATAGTTGTTTTACTACCTTTAAAAAAATCTTGAAGGAAATTTTGTGGCAGAATTTAAATTAACACTGATACTATTGCGATTTGTTGAAAAAGACTGTAAAATAGTTGGTTGTGTAGCGTGCGGTAGAGCTCGGTCAAAAATCGATTGAAATAAAGGAATAACTTTTTACTACCTAGTAAGTGATTATAATATACATACGTATAGTAAACCGATCATATATGAAATTCACTTAGGATTTGATTAGGAACTAATTGTATATTTTTTCTTGCATTTTTGCTTTACTACTTGTCAAAAATAATTTAGATACGACAATTTGACCAACGCCCCTCAGTAAGTTCAGTAGCTGATCTGATGCTTGGGTTATTAAATAATTATTATAAATTATCTATTTTTATTAAAAAATATATTTTTGTAACCATTTTTTTATAATTTTTAACAACTACTTAATAGAACGGCACTGATAAACCGGAATTTAAGTCGGCCATTTTAGGTCCCCGTCGCGGTCGATCTAAAACTTGATTTTTATGCGTCTGTTATCCATTGATATTGATACGATGGTCCGACGGTGCGGCGCGGCGGCGCGGCACTCTGATTGGAGTGATTGGTCATAGCGTTTTCGCGATACTTTTCATCCGTAAATTTTTTACTCCTGCCCGTCAACGGAGAAAGATCGAATGATCGGACATTTTTACACTTTTTTGACAAATTTAATCTAACTTTAATAAAAATATAATAGTACAAGAGCGAGCAACGTCAGGAAAACGAGAATTTTAAGAAAGCTTGTCACGCGTTTTGGCCTTAGCTCGGCTCTTTTAAATTAAAAAAAAAAGAAAAAAAAAATTAGAAAAGAAGTAAAAAAAATACGAAGAAGAAAAAAATATTATTAAGTTAGCGATTAAGAAAAATAAATATTTATGGAATTTGCAGGGGTCTAGTCGCGAACAAATTTATGCCCTAGCTCAGAAAATTCGGAGAGTAGGGGCGGGTTAAGAGCGCCACTGACTTTAGACGGAAAAAAAGTTTCGTGACGGTGCAAAAATCAACGTTGGAACGCTTTGTGAATTGTTTTGCGAAGTGTAAAAAACTGCGTGTATCGATCGGTTTTTGTTTATAATCTCATAACTGCCCTATTATTTTTGTTTGCAATTTGCAATAATAATTATTATTCTTAAAATGGAGAATCAGAATCCAGTAATTGTTGGTAAGTGTTGTTTCACAACTGTATACTCACTAACTCACACATACCTATCGTCTCTTTTATGATCCTGTTATGCGTAGTTTCCTGTTATTTCATTGCAGTGGTAGGAGCACAGACATTGAATTTATAAATAAAATAATTAAAATTTTCCGAACGATTCACTCCACACAAACTCATAAACAAAGTATAACGCACACGTATTCCGAATTTCGTAAAAGTAACAAGACAGAAGCATCAGCCGGACGCCGGACCAGGGTTAGCTGTTAAAAATCGATAATTCCTGCCAATATGATTTAATGCGCAAGTCAACCCAAACAAAGTTCTCTTTGGGACCAATGTACCGAAATTACTGTTCTTGAAATCGTAACTAAACGATCCCAAGGTAAGGTTGGTACGCAAATAGGATCGTCCGATAACCGTTAAATCTCGGTTGGAACCATAGATTTAGGAAGAACAGATATCACATTGTGCATTTTAACCCGATCAAACAATCGGAGGTTAACTACGTACTGTAAAAACCAACTGAGATATAGAAGGCGACATTGCTACATCTGGGTGCGCCTATCTACTTAGTTTGATTTGCAGAAAAGGTGACTTTAAACCTTCACCGGATATCAATAAATCTCAATTTCTTAATTAAATTAATAGTTTATTTTTAAAGAAGCATGCGTAATAATATGTTATTAACCAGAGGATATATGCGTTACTATTAAAGGACATGTTTACTGTTTAATGTGCTGAAACGTCTAGAACTATTGGCAACGTCGCTGCTAGTCTTCCAGAATGAATATGAGCTGTCCTTCCCACCACCCCTCGCGACGGCCTTTGGTCCGTTATAGCGTACTACGTTTAGCTTACGGTGTGTTTGAAGTCGGAATCAAGTCCGAAGTGAACTTTTCAGTGTTTTTCAGTAGTTTTTGTTTTTGTTTAATGTACTTTTAAATCTGCGAATTTTCAATATGTATTTTTGACAGTGTCAAGTGTGTGGAAAATAAGCTCAAATTACCCGAATTTGTCTTTTCAAAGGTAGGTACAAATTTCCGCCGTAATTGTCCATAGGCGTCCCACAAGGGAGCCCCTTACAATTAAAATAATTTCCTAATTATATTTGTTGAATTTTGATCTATTAAAACAAGAACGTAGTAGCCGGTAATTGAATTATAATTCGTCACAATTACTACCTAACTGTTGTAGATCATAACAAATTTGAATATAAACGTTGCATTTGAAACTTTATTATAAGCAGAAAGTGACATTTTTTTTCTTAAAATTGCGTCATATTTTTGGGTCATTATATACGATATTCTAAAGGAATTTTGCTCAACAAATAAACAAAGGTGTTTACCCGTCCTTTTTACATTTTACTGTTTTTTATTATATCTGCCCCTTCGGCCTTGTTTAGACAATTTTTACCACCGTACAAATACCTCTTCCTAGAGTTATTTGTACGGTGTGTTTACTTTTTTTTAGAATGGGACGAACTGTAAATAATTTTGGCTACTAGTTTTATACATACCTACATACAGAGCGACCCAGGCCTCCAAAAGCTTTTACCTACTGCGTTTTTGGTTTGTGATTTTTATTTCAATTTTTTACATAAGATGGGGGCCATTGTAACGCACATTTTCAAAATATTTTTGTCAACATACAGGGTGATTTAAACCCGCAATACATATGCTTAATACAGTTCATGAAGATTGAGACATTTAACTAAAATTTGATTGTCTGATGAGGAGTTACCTTTAAAAGTAATAGGTTTGTAAATAAACGTAATATTCATTATTATGCGACAGAAATCCCATACTGTAGCACACAGATTTGACACTTTTAATAAAAAAATACCTTCTATTGAGACTAAAAGGTAATTGCACTCATATCAGAACCATCATAATACAAGAAGAAGACCGAAAGTCAAATCTTGTCTTATATTTCAAAAAACACAATTTTCTCATTAAATATTGATTTTAGGTATAGGAAGTTATTAATAATACAAAATTAAACAACTATTACACAGTACTTCACAGGAAGCTATCGATTGCGAACTAACTAAATCGTTACTAATTACTAATTTTGAAAAGTTCTTTTTAAGATCAAAAAAGGTAAAACTAAAACCTAAACTATCATTTGAGATTAAACGGGAAGTTCTACATAGTGTTGCCTATTCTAAACAAGAAAAATTTATTTATAAGTTTTTTATATATACATATAAACCAGGGTTGTCTCAACTAACGTCGCATCCCCACATCTAATCGCCACTTGTTACGATCAAGAACATCTTCCTCTTCCAAGTTACGGTCCTCCATTACCCTTATAAGTTTTATAACATCTCTAATTTAATTTGGACAAAAAGAATATTTCTGTTTGCTGTAGGTAATTTTCTCAGGGAAAATACGTAAATAAAAATGACTTTTTAAGGAAAAAAAAGTCAAAAGGACAAGTTATTCCAAAAAAGGCTGTCCTTGTCAAAAAAGGACAGATGGCAACCCTAGGTATTTCTGGAATGAAAATTTAATGGCAAATCTACAACTTCAGCTTGAAAATATGTTCCGGCCACCTATGTTTACAAAAATGTCTAAAATGTGCTTTACCATTGCCTCTATATTCTGAACAAAAAATTGAAAGAAAAGTCACCAACCACAAACCTAATATAGAACTGTTTCAGAAACTTGAGTCACCCTGTAAATATTCAAAAGTAACTGAAAGTTTATATAGAAGTAACTGAAAGTTTAAATTGAAAATCGACGTTGGAGCGATTTTCGAAAACTACCTACTAACGTTTCAACATAAGTATATATGGGATATTAATTATATTATTATATTAGACCTTATGACAAAACTCATCTGACGAAAAAGTGTTAATGTAGTATATTAATATGGAGTAAAAATTTTACTAACTACTTTACTTTTACTTTACTAATTAAGTTCCTTCCAAAAAACGATACGTCACTGGCCATTAGAACAATCCAAATGCGCCTAGTTGCCGGGGTCGGAAATTTTAGACTTCTCTGTCTCTTCTGTCCTTGTTTGACACATTGGAATGTTTGATACACTTCCAACGAGTATTTATGAATGAGATGTTCGGTCTATCTTTATAATGTCTTTGTTGGAACACATTTGAATTACTGCGCACGAGCGTGATCGTTAGGTGACGGTTCTGCGGCGGGTTGGAACAAACCTAATATTAGCTTAATTTTTTATTTCATACGTCCTTTCTTCTTACTTTTTCGCAATATCTCCCTGTTCGTCCGAACGGACAGTCACATTCATAATCTGTCAAAAGGGGAACGCATCTTGAACTGTCCGAACATTTAGTTATATTTTTATCTACAAAGGTTATTTCTTGAAGAACACAAAGGACCATACCAGTCATCTTGACATAAACACCTTTTAACAACAAAAAAGAAGAACACGAGTATACCATATGATCGAAAAAAAAACGGCGTCAAATGACATTGGATGATAATTTTCTGAGGCCAAGCCCTATAGATTTCATTTATCAAAAGCATTCGATAGTCGTGGCGCAACGATAACCATTTGGTCGCACTGCGAGGTTGTCACATATGCTTTAGTATACAAATGAATGAATGATTTTATTCGAATAAAACCATTCGATAGTTGAAATCATTCATTCATTAACCATTCGATAGTCTAATTCATTCGATAGTTCCCATCGCTAATTAGTAATAATTTTTGAAATTGTTATGTCAATTTTTAGTAACTTACGTCTATAGAGATTGACCTCGCCAAAATTATCATCGACGTCATTTTCCAGCTTTGACGGCGTTTTTTTTTCGACACCTGCTCTAAATCGACACTTACATGAACGTGTTTCCATGATGTAGACAGGCCCCTCCATTTTGACAGCTCCTGTCATAGCATTCAGTGGTACCACATTGTCCTACAGCTCTACCAACAGCTCTAAGAGCTCCTTGGAGTGGCAGAACTATGGTACCCATTCGAAGTTCTAGATCGAATATGCATCCTGAGAAGCCCGTATGGAATGGTAGATCGTGGGGTAATGTTGAAAAATTTCTGGTGTGATGACCGCCTAAAGAATATTGTTTATTTCTTGACGATGATTAGAGGGGGTGGTACCTTTGAATAAAAAGATTAAGGAAGGAGCATAGCAACAAACTTAGGTGGAGCTTGATATGAAGTGGGGGACTAATATGGCGTCTGACTGAAATTCCGGTTTATCAGTGCAATCTTTGTAATTTTATTCTAAACGTGTAAAAATATAATGCAGGGTGGTATAGGTATAATTATTAAATAAAAGCAAAAATGCAAGAAAAAATATATTTTTATTTAACGTACTTTACTGTCTACAAGTTCACCGTAAAGCAGATATTTTTTAGGCGGTTTTCTTTCATTCTACATACGTGACCATACCATCTTAAGCGGGATTTTGTAATCAAGATTTAAACGCTCCCGCAGTTAGCTTTTTCAAGGACCGATATGTTTTGGTTTACTATACTTAATGCGATTTATATAGTTACCAGCAGAGATGGACGGTGAGTAAATATCCAATGAGTAGATAAATAAAATTTCGGTATATACCTGGTATATAACAAAGAAAGGAACATTAGTGTAACTAGCAATTTATCCTGGGGTGGGCCAGGGGAAGGGGCAGGGGTTGAGCCCAGGGGGGGCCTAGAGCTTTTGTTTTTTAAAAATGAAAAATAATTTTAAAAAACACATTTTTTGAATAAAACGTTTACATGAATTTCTCTATCAATAAATTTCATAGATTTGGTTATCAAACCGTGTTCCCGTAGATTACTTAAATACCTACAAATTTTCTAAAAAAATAAAAATTAACACATTTTTTGAACACAACAAAATAATATTAACTAAACAAAACTAAAAAACGTAATTTTTAGTGCATTACAAGCAAATAAAAATGAATACGTAGCCAAGAGTCATAATTCAGGATTTCTCTGGGGGGTGCCCAGCAGTACCTAGGGGGGGGGGCACCCCCAGGGCGCTCCTGTAGTTACGCCAATAGAAAGGAATAGTTAAAACAATGACTAAAGAATATAAGGACATGTAACGCCCCTATACGGGATGCAGCAGAATTTGTGACCTTTTTTCTTTTTGTTTTGGTGGCAAACAATGAGTCATCATTTGGTCACCAGCGACAATTTTAGCGATTTTTAATAGTTTGTGTGTAGTAAACTTTGTATAAATTTTATTATAATGGTGATTAGTTGTTCAGCTTTCAAGTGTAAAAGCAGCAGCGATAAGAAAGAGCCAGGAGTTACGTTTCATAGGTAAATAAACAGTCCACTCCAACCTTTTAGCGTTTTCTTATTGAATTCGATAATTATTCTTCAATTTCAATTAATATCTATATGTACTTGATATGTGCTATACGTCGATACTAGTTTTGTACCTTTTGTTAACATTTTAATACGTTTTTTTCGTAATTAATTAGGATGATACACCATAGGCGTAGTCAAAACAATTATCAAAAAATATAAATATTGCTTCAAACAGCTAGGTTAAGAAAAATATGTGCCACGGCACTGTTTGAGGCATCGTCACAATTTGCTCTCGGGTGTTATTTGTCCTTGGATTCTTTAGTCATTGAGTTAAAACTTTGTGTCATTTAGCAAACACCATAATGCAGTGACCAAGCATCACTAAATATTGAATTAAATAATATTAAAATAGATTTGCTTCAGAATGCTTACTCTGAGAAGTCTCTAAACAAAATTAGGTATATCAAATTATAAAACTGACTCGACTGTACATCGACCTGAGGAGGATGCTCTCTCTTTCTCTCTTGACTATTCTATATGTCTTCAAATCTGGATCGACTCTAAGAAGCGTCCTAACAAAAACAAGGCCGGAATCATTGAAACAAGAGGTACCTTGTACCTACCAGGTACCTTGTGAATGCGGTGAGTCGTATATTGGGAGACTAAACGTCCTCCTAAATGTACGACTTAGCGAGCACAAAAAAATGTTCAAAAAGATGAAACAATGAAGTCAGGTATTGCGGACCATGTTTGGTCAAAACAGCACGATATAAAGTGGTCGGAAACTCGGATTGTCCACATCACTGGTCATTGGAAAAAGCGTAAATTTAAAGAAGGGGTTTTTACAGCAAACAATAATAACATCTTTAGTAATCCTAGTAGGGAAATATCTACGATATAGTAACCATTGATAGAACGCACCAATGCGGGAATCCTAAGTGGTAAAAAATGACTGATATTGGCAGATATTGTAGATGGAAAACTAACCTCTGTAAAACCGTTTCAGATAATGGCTTTTGTCAAAGCTCTGAGACTGTATGAGACTCCTATACAGACAACAACAACCTACAATCTATATCTACTCCTTCGTTAATCTTTTTATTCGTGAAGTCTTACCTAAATACAAAAATGGAATTATGTCTAACTGAACTGAATTTCCTGGTGATCTTCCAGTTACGTTTCCTAAATTTTCAACTGATAACCAGGCTCTTCTTCCAGTGTATCCAACTTGTATTAAATAGTCAGTAGCTCCCTTTTCAATGGGCTGAGAAGTAAATATTCTTCTAGGGCCTATTATAAATGAATTTGAATTATGAACATGAATAAGTAAAGTAAAGCAAGTTTCGCTGTAACTTTTTTGCTATGGAAAATTTTGTATTTTTATGAAAACATTTCCTAAGCACCTTTTAACGTAGAATTTAATAGTTTGAGTATAATTGCAATATATTCCCGTTAATTTTTTAATTAAAAAATAATATTATACATACCAGATCCCATGTTCCAAGTCAGCATAATGTATCCTTTAACAAAACTGACTGCCAGATGGTCAGAAAAAGCGTCATGCTGGCCCTCTTGACCCATAAACAGTAACAAAGCAATCTGATCTATTGTAGTTGGTACAATTCTAAATCTGATTTCCATGTTTTGAGATACACCTTCTGGTAGAGGGTATGTTATGAACGATGATAACCCACGCACAGAGGATGAAAAGTAAGGTTCAGTAATTTTCAAATCTAAAAAAGGAATTTAAATAAATTCAAATTTATCCAAAGCATAGTAAAACTTGTTTATCTGGAACTTCTTTAACTCGAAATATTATCTATCTAGGATATTTTTTGATTATTATTATTATATTAAGTCGCCTATGTGTAAACTCTAAAACTCTAATGTTTCTATAAAAAGTGAAAATAATTAAAGGAAAACAAGCGTGAAAAATGGAAAAGCAGCAGGGAACGACAGAAATACAGCTGAAATACTTAAGCACGTCGTAGGAGAACTTGGCAAATCCTAGCAAATATACAGTGTGACAATTTGAAAACGAGTATTAACAGTATTTAATATTACCTCTACCCATGATAGTATGAAAATTCGGCGGAATACGTCAATTTACATATCAAGGGGGACAATGAGGCATTTGTTGTCGTGTTACTTTCAACCCTTTCACCCCCAGGGCACCTACCCCTAAAATTTTAAATGGCAACCCCTATTTCTTTTACCATTTTCGTGTTCCTTATAAAATTCTCAAAAAAATAGTGCAGTTTATGTAGAATTCTATAAGAAATACAAAAATGGTAAAAGAAATAGAGGTTGCTATTTAAAATTTTAGGAGTCAAGGGGTTGAAAGTAACACGACAACAAATGCCTACTAACTATCATCGGTAGAGGCAATATTAAATACTGTTCGTTTTCAAATTGTCACCCTGTATGTGAAACCGTTTTTGCTAAAAATTGTCCAGTTGTTGTGACTAAGATTATAGTGATAAGAAGTGAATAAGATTTTATTGAGAAATTATTTTCTATTTAACTAGCAACTTAGCCACTTAGCTAACAAACACACTTTTTGATGCTTAAGTAAAGAAATATTAACAAAAAAAATACTACCTAAAGTCCAGGATGTTCCCTGTAGTAAAAACTGTGCTGTAAAACTGCTTGTGCGTGGTACGGTCAGTAGTACAAACTGCGCAAACTGACCTGTACAGTCAGCCTGTGCTAAAGAACTGAGGGTCTGTCAACTGCCCTTAGAATAATTTGGATTATACCTATATTAAGTGCTAAAACGTACATTCATGCTTTCATAGTAATGTAGGTATGCACATACATGCAAAATTTTCTTTATTTCCATCTCTTGATATTCAAAATCAATTAAAATTATTATTTGTCGCAAAAAACTAGGTGTTAAAAAAATATGGTGCCGTTGTATGCTATATAGTATTTATTTATACATGCTTTACAGAAACGTATGTCATGGTAGCCGTAGCTGAAAGATGTTTATCATACCGTTCTCGCAAAAGTGTCCGTGTTTGCCGTATGGGCACAGACACAAGTAACCACTGCTAGAAAATGGAATACAAGTACCACCATATAAACATGGATTATCATCGCATATTGATAATTCACATATATTTCCTAAAAACCTAAAATCAATATGAAAAAAAAATGTAAAGGTTTAGTCACATAATCATGTCGCTTTTTTAAGTAAATAAAAATGCATTTAAAACAAATAAATGTAATATCACGTTTTACCCTTATTGAACGTAATTACCCATTGAACGTAATATACACAGGGTGTCAAAAAATAGTGTAACGGTCTAATGAGTGAAGATCTAGTGTCAAAAAATAGTGTCTTTGGTGAGTGATTACAGATAAAAATAAAACAAAAAGTTCCTATGAACATATGCCCTAAAATGCTTCCTGTTTGACACGTTTGTTTGACACGTAAAGTTTGACACTTTAGTTTTGTATAACGAGTTTTTGGTTTAAATAAATAGTATAGTAATAGTTTAAGTTTAAAATGCATACGTTGCAGTCGAACATTGTTCTTTTTAGATCCTCTTTTAGTGCGAAGTGTACAAGGTAGCTTAATAGCCGTAAAAAACTCATCGCAATTCTATTAGAATATTTAAGTGCCCTTAAGTGCTGTTAAGAAGGTGAGTTTTGTGGATGTAAATAATAATTGTTTATATATTTATAGTTAATTTATTTTTGTTTCTTAAAATATTTTCATTAAAAGAAAATATGTAAAAGTAGGCAACGCTGTGCCGGTCAAACTTAATCACGTGACTAAAAGTATATTTGATATGAACTATTATAGTTAATTAAAAAAAAATAGTAATAATTTTACCCGTTCTTGCATCGACATCTCCATTTTTCACCTGAGGATATACAGGATGCTCCGTTTTTACAGGGATTTGATAAACAGGCTAAAGAAGAGCATTCGGATATTTCGTAACCATCTTCAGCGTCTTTATATATGTATACGTTCCTCCCGTGAACCTTAAAAGTTATTATTATTATCACTATACTCCAAAAAATTATCAAAAAAAACAACAACATAATATTACAGCTCATTTATTAGACAGCCAGTCGACTTTGACTAGATTTTCAGTAAAATTATGTCATGATTATGTTAGGGGGGCATCCATTAATTTCGTGAGGTTGTCAAGGGGGGAGGGGTCAAGCCAATAATGGGCCAAGACCCATCACATGACATCTCCCCAATAAAATAGTAGGAGGTGGTCAAAAAATTCTCAAAAACGCCTTACGGAATTAATGGATCTTCTGTTTTATCACAGGTTTTATATTGTATTTATGTTTGTATTTATATATACGTACTTTTAAGTCAGACATACACCCAATGAAACCTCCAGATGGAATGTTCTCATATGTCAAACTGTTTGGTATATTTCCAAGATGGAGGCAAGCTGAAGGAGTTAGAAGTTTGTTTATCATAGCTGTCTGGTCCCCTGTCATTGTCAGGGTGTCGTTAACTTTTATCAGTGCCTCGCAGTGGGTTAGATTTTTGGAAAACTCCAAACTGAAATAAAAAAATTGGTTAACGAACAAAGGGTCTATACAAGGTGATACAATATAGAACCACTACCACACTCTACGTTTTATCTGCTCTGCAATGTTATCGTGCGATAAGTCGTTGCGTGTGGACCATACTTTAAAATAATAACACTCTAAAACAGCCTCTACGCTATTCACGAAATGTTTTACGAAATATTTCTGGAAATATTTCGTAAATTTCGCAAAACTCAAATATAAGCCCGTCAAAATAAAGCAAAATAAAACACTATGCCCGTAGTACACTACTAGCCCGTGTTAAAAACATTAGTTAATCTGGGGTAACAATAAAAAACAAACAACCAATCACGATGCGTCTCGATCTATTTCAGGAAACGTGGGAACTAATTTTTATAATACGGGCTTATATTTATCGTACAATTTTGTGAAATAGCACGAAACAATCATGGTCAAACGTTGTGGTGGCTTCAGAAATATAAATAAACATGGAGTATGAATAAATATCATTAATTTGTAATGGAGTGCAATATAATACCACTATATTAAACTGATAGGAAAAATTAAAAACAGTACATTTAGAAAACAGTTACCGATGGTAGATTAAATTGGCTATTCCTCTAAGGTTACTCAAAAATATTTAGTTTTAATCATTGTACATTATTAATTAGAATATAGTAAAAAAAAATATTTCCAAAACTTAAAATCGTAAAACTGCAGGGCAATACGCCGCGACTAACTGTTCTGGCGGTCCGCCTTTTATAGATTATAACCTACGGTTGTGAACTATTTAAAAAATTGTGCCAAAATATACTGTTATATTAATCAATTAAGGCCGCGTAAACAAACATAACATATACAATTTTATATACTAATTCATTATAATAAAATTAAATAATAAACATATTGTAATTATATTCTTGCAGATTGAGTGAAAAGTTTTGTTCTTAAATATCTACTCTACATATTATTAAACGCGTGTTCAAACATTAATCTTGTGGAATATATATCAACATAAAACGAGATGTAATTAACGAAACAACATCGTAACAACAGCTATTTTAGAAACATCTTGGTTTACTTATTTTACTGAGATTTATGAAATAAAAGTCCTTTGCCTCGGGTACAGATACCGCCACGTTTTGGAAATAGCTCGAAACGAAACAAAATTGAACGAGGCCACAGGAAACGCCAAAAAAATCATCCCACGCCCTCCTCATGAGTAGTTTTCAGGCGCTTTTAAGAATTGACAGTAGGTCGAGGTAAACCGAAGTGGGTCAAGCCAACTGGAAATAAACCGAAATGCGACAAAGTTGGGCGACGAAACGCGACCTTGACCTACTTCGAAGAGTTCTCCGCATAGTGTAGAGGCTGTTAAACTAGTAAAATAAAAAAAAACAGAGAATCACTAAAAAAGGTTGAAATCAAAGCCAAAAACTTTGTATAAAAATGATTAGTTTAGGTGAGAATATTATTTACTCACATAGCTTTGATTTTCATGTTGTAACCATTGTTAACTGGAACATTAAGTTCGCTGAGCAACATGGTTTGGTACCCACACGAAAATTTGAACACTAGATACCCGTTTTCAATATACAGGGCCATGTAGGTTTCGTCCAACGTCGTGTAGAATAAAATGCCTGTACTGGACAAAGTTTTTGCAGTGAATTCTATAGAAACGTTTCTTCCTTCCGGTAAAAGATGCGACAAATAACTATTTCCTGTAAAAGCTGCATTTTTTATTCCTAACTTTATTTCACAGTAAGGGCCTTCAGCATCGAAGGGACACATGCACTGAAAAGGAACATATTTGTTAAAAAATGTATATACAGGGGGGACCTAACTGGATACTTTTACAGGAAAATACCTTTTTCTATAGGAGATAGACAAAAACTATTAGCGGTGCCTGGAGCGTAATTTTTATCAAAAATATGATGGTAAAAACCCCACCTCTATATTTGTTATCGTTTCGGAGTTACGGGGTCTTTTCCAAAAATGTGCATTTTTATGAAAACATTTTCAAAGCACTTTTTTACATAGAATTTAATAGTTTAAGTATATTTTTTTAAATTAATAGTTTAAGAGTTATCAACAGAAAAAAAATATTTTTTTATTTGAAACACCCTGTATATTTTTAATTAATTGAAAAGAAGTTAAAATTACCTTTCCAAAAATATAGCACACTTCATATTTTGTTATAGTCCCTTTCGAAATACAGAATTTTTAAAAGTTTGCCATTTTTAATTAGTAGGCTTTGGACCCCTTAATGATGATCTGCGAAAATTAATGGAACTCGAAAACATATTTTTCCAGCAAGCCAAGGCACCGCCTCAGAAAGTCGAAGTTATCAGCAAATTTTTGCAGCCAATTTCGAGAATAATTGAATAGAGCTAACAGCTAACCAAGATCCCAGCCGTTGGCCGTCGAGGCCGCCGGACTTAGCGCCTATGGATTTTTATCTTTGAGGAAGACTAAAGGATCTTATTTTTAAATTGCCCGTACTTTAGACGATAATTAGAAGTACTTAGAGGTCTCTTTCACTCCCAATGAGTAATAAATTCCGCGAGAAATGAGAAACGGTCCCGTGCATAAGAGAAGGCGGTCGATATTTCGAACACTTCCAAATCTGATGTCTTGGTTTGCAATTTTATTATTTTTGTTATTAGATATAGTTTAAATGTGTTGTTGTTAAAATCGTCATACAATTCTGCATCTTTTATCAACTTTTATCAAAGTCTACTTATTCAAAGTGAGAATCGAGCAAAATATCAAGTATGCTATATTTTTGGAAAGGTCATTTTAAGTTGTTTTCAATGAATTAAAAATATATAGGGTGTCCCATATAAAAAATCAAATTTTCTGTTGATAACTCTTAAATTATTCATTTAAAAAAATTAACCAACAACCAAACCATTTAATTCTACGTTAAAAGTTGTTTTGGAAATGTTTTCATAACGATACAAAATTTTCCATAGCAAAAAAGTTACAGCGACTTGTTAAAAATGTACATTTTTGAAAAACACCCCGTAACTCGGTTTTTGCCACCATTTTTTTGCCAGCACTGTACATATTGTTGAATATTTGTATGTCTTTAATTTCTTACTAACTCACGATATTTCTTACCTTATGAGCTTCATCAATAAAAACGCAAGTACCCCCATTTTGGCACCGTTTATCAGGTAGGGTACAATCAATAATATTTACAGTTGTACCTTCACTTGTTGAAACTTTCGTGGGACTAACTCCAGGCAGTGTTGATAGTGTGGTTACTGTAAAAAATATAAATGTTAGTAAAGTGTTATTTTTGACAGATAAAATGGTACTGACACTCGGTTGTAGTTGTGACGACACCTCCTTTTGGTTCCTCAGTAAAGAAGGTTGAAATTGTGGAAGGGATTGTACTTGAAGTACTATATTCTGTATATGTGCTTTCTATTGTAGTCATAAACGAGGTCTCAGCTTCTGCTAATTTAGAATTATATTAATAATACTTATCTATAGGTACCACATTTTACTTAAAATGTAAATATATTCGATGCCAATTAAACTTTTAGTTACGTAATCGTTGCCAACCATGGACGTATTCGGCGCCGGGCTGACTAACTGGAAATGTAGATAATGTCAAGTTGCCGCATTTATTTATTTTCTGACATTGCCATTCGTTTTAACACTTTAGTTTTGTACTACGAGTTTTTGATTTTCATTAATTGTGTTGTGATTAGTGATGGGATAACTCGAGCGAAAATTCGCTTGAGTACTCGATTATTGAAATAACCGGCATCGCTCGATTATGAACGAGCGATGCAAGTGATGAGTTACGAGCGACAAAGGCAAGCGAACCTAGAATGAAATAAATTGAAATCCGATTTTAATGTGACATACTCGATAAAAAGCCGAGCGAATTTTCTACATACATTGCAGGCAGCAAATTTATACGACGCCGTATATACCGGGTGCGTCTCAAAAGTGGCTCACTCCTATAACTTTTTTATTTTTTTAGATAAAAAAAATGAGATTTGGTATGTTAGTATATGACATAAATTAGGATTGATTGACGTATTAAATTGTTTTCTGTCACTTCCTGTTTCACCGGAAATGACTACAATTTTTGATTTTTAAATTTCACCCTCGGTATTTTTTTACTTTATTCGATAGAAAATGACATTCTAAATAGAATGACGTATCATATGTCAACTTTTGACATATTCGCTCAAAAACAAATTGTATTTTAAATCTCAATCTAGAGTGCCAAGTCTGTGTTAAAAACACTAATTTTTAATCAAGGAACCTTGGAAAAATAGATTTGATCGTCTAATGTCTTTAGTGTCTTGTTCTTGCCGGTTAAAAGATGCCCAAATCGTATTTTTGATTATATCTCAATTTTTTTCAAATGGAACGAGGGTGGTTCATTAGCATATTTCGAAAAAGAATATTTTTATGAATAATTTGATACCACACACTTGGTACTTCGAGTCAAATTGTCGTTATGAACTGCATGTTACAATTTCAAATAAACCATATGCGAAAATGTCAAAAGTTGACATGTGATATGTCATTCTATTCAGAGTGTCATTTTCTACCGAATAAAGTAAAAAAATACCGAGGGTGCCATTTAAAAATCATAAGTTGTAGTCATTTCCGGTGAAACCGGAAGTGACCGAAGACAATTGAATATGTCAATCAATCCTAATTTATGTCATATACTAACATACCAAATCTCGTTGTTTCATCTGAAAAAATAAAAAAGTTATAGGGGGTGAGACGCACCCGGTATATTTATCCGTTGCGTATTTGACGGACAAAATTTTACGACCTATATCGACAATGCTTCGAAATAAACTAAATCAAGCGATCAAGCGAATCGTTCGCTGCTTACTACTTGCCGTTCTTTACCGAAAGAATATGTGCCCTGCGCACGCAACTTACTCTTTGACGCTTGGCGTTAACGAGTACTTACAACATGAGGCGGGTGAAAACCGTATTTTTAAATACGAGTGATATATCGCTCGAGTGATCACTCGGTTATTGCAATCGCTTGATACTGGAGTACTCGATTATTGAAATTAATCGGGTTTTCCCATCACTAGTTGTGATAGCTTAAGTTTAAAATTTTTTACTAGCAGACTTGCAGTCAAACATTGTTCTTTTTAGAATCTCTTTTAGTGCGAAGTGTACAAGACAGCTTAAGAGCCGTAAAAAACTCATTGCATCTTTATTATATAGAATATGTTGAACGAGGAAGCGGTAGTAATAGCCCTTTCTGTCTGTTAAGTGCTGTTAAGGAGGTGAGTTTTGTTGCTGGAAATAATAACTGTTTATATATTTATAATTAATTAATTTTTGATTCTTAAAATATTTTGATTAAAAGAAAATATCTAAAAGTGGACAACGCTGTGTCGGTCAAGCTTAATCACGTGACTAAAAGTTTATTTGGTATGAATTGTAGTAGTAAATTTTCACCAAGATACCATTTTTACGTAAAAAAATGCGGGAAATGTATATTTTTTCACTCAGTAGTTTACTACAGGTACGGACAAAAAGTTATTACTTTTCAAAACAGTTAAAAAATATGTAGGTGACGCCCCCTTCAAGTAGGAGTCATATTGACATCGAAATCAAGTTTCTCACTTCAAAAAACACCCAGATACCATTTTCAAGAATATATCGACATTAGTTCAGAAATAATTTGGAAAAAATTGAAATAAAAATGAAACTTCTACACCCTGTACATGTCTCCGAAACGATGCATTTTTGGAAATGAATTACACTACAATGAATACAATTATATGAATACAATTTTTACTTATTTCTATCTGCAGAATATATATGTTGCGAGGGTTACACCCTGTATGATAGTATATAGTATATAACATTTTGACATTACCTGACGTAGCTGCTATTGTAGATGACTCTATATCTATGTCAGGCAGTGTAGTGTATTTAATTTCAGTTGATGTCTCTGGTATATTTGTTGCTGTTGTTTCAAACAGTTCAGTAGAAGTTGATAGAACGGTAGTCCACTCAGAGGAAGACATATCACTGGTAGAATATACAGGATGTTCTGTAGAATAAGTTAAAGTTTCTTCAGTTCCTGTAGCTATACTAGTAGTTTCTGTAAGTTCAGTGACATAGGTAGATGTAGTTTGTTCTTCAGCTTCTGTAGTAGTGGGCGATATTGGCAGTATAGTTGTAGTTTCGGCAGTTGTGGATATTTCTTTAAAGCAACAAGTAAAATAAACTTTATTAGATTAAATAATAATAATAAATTGTATTTTTAATAATTTTTTTTAAGAAAGGCTAAGAAATATATACATATTTTTATTTATTTATTAATATCTCTGAAGCTATCGAAATATATTTATTCATATCTTAATTATTATTATACAGGGTGAGTCTTAAATAAGTGCAAATATTTTCAGGGCTGGTAGATCTCGATAAAAGAAACATATTTTCTCTTTACCATTTTTCAGAGAAGTCCAAAATAACCGAATTATTTAAGTTAAAGAATATAAAAAAAAATGATTATTTTTTGAAAAAATTTTGAGAGCCATCGGATTTTTTCTGTATTTACCGCCCTTTTAGTAACCATAGAGTAAAGCCGTAATTATAGTAATATTCTCTATGGTAATATCAGAGGGGAATTTGCGGTGAACAGGCAGTTCTAAAAAGTTTTCGAAAAATATACAAGGAAATTTAAAAGAAAGTGCACGATTTTCAACATCTTTTTTTTGCGAAAAAAACCTCATAGACGTTTTCTTGGGGTCGAAATATACCACCCCTGAAAATATTTGCACTTTTATTTTCCTGAAATACATCCTAGTAGATACTTTAGGTTTGCACTAAACAAAATAAAACGTTTTTTTTTTAGTTTTAGGTGCTACAGATGCCCGACGCACAATTGCCGAACCCTGTATGTAATTACCTGTTTCTGTAAAGAATGTTCTTGAAGTTACTTCACTTTCAGTCGTAGCTGAAACAGTACTTCCCTCCAAAGTAGTTCCTTCAACACTTTCAATACTAATCACAATTTCAGGTACAGTAGTAGATGTAACAATTTCCGTTGTTTGCAAGGTAGAAGTAGATAGTTCTGTTGAGTATATTGTAGCGGATGTAGTGGTGATATTGGGGCGTTCTGTTTTAGTACTAGGGGTAATACACCAAGGAAGGGTAGTCGTTTCTGTGGGAGTCAACGTATTATTTGGCACTTGAATTAGTACTGTAGTGGTACCTGGATATGTAGTTGTTTCTGATGGCAGTATGGGTTTTGCAGAAGCTAAAAATACCAAATGATTATACAGGGTGCCACCTCTCATACGAGAACGACAGTTTGTATTGAAATGAACTTTTGAGACCATATATGTACGTTAATTCAGAGCACTTTTTAAAAATATAGACAGTTAATATCAAAGTTGTGTGTTTTGTAATGCAATACTCTCTATATTATATCTAAAAAATTCTCAGAAATTTGCCTAAAATGGAAACTTATCCTATATCAGAGAGAATTGATAAGATTCTATTAGTTGGTGCATTCACTAATTAATAGAATATTTAAATGTTCCTGATTTTATCTAGTCTGGGATTTGTTATGGGGATATGTTTAAGACAGTGTTTACAATACTCGACTAACTATTGTCGAAAACTTGAGGGAAATGATTGTAGCTGCTTTTCGAAGTAGAACTCCACATATGCCTTTTAAAATGAAAAGATCTTTTAAAAATAGTATCATTTTATGCAGTGAACAGGAAAGGAAGCATTTTGAGCATTTGATTTCATCTAGCTAATTTTTGTCACATAATTTATACGTTTATTATATCTAGTTTTCAGTGGCGTAACAATAGACTCACGGGCCTGTGTGCAAACATTTTACCGGGCCCCCTATTACACCTACATATTTCAATACTTATATACTAATCTGAATAATATGCACTCATATTTTAGGTTAGAAATAACATTATCAAATTAATTTTTATATAGTATTGTTTATTACTGTAACACAGAGAATATGTAACCCAAAACATATAAAATATCAAATAAATAAAAAAAAATAAATAAAAACAAATCAAAAAACAACAACAAAACTAACTAAATTAAAATAAACAATGTAAATAGGAACATGAACATGTTAAAATTCTTTTTTTTCTTGCTTTAGTATGGGCGAAAGTTGACACAATATTACCATTTTCTATTGTACGGGCAAGTTCATTTTCTATTGAAATAATTGCCAAAGCTGATAACCGTTTTTCGCCCATAGTAGGTATTTCTTAAACAATTTCTGACAAGCTTTAATTTGGAAAATGATCTTTCAGCCGAGGCCACAGAAACACAAGGGCGTAGATAAGGGGGGGGGGGTACTGGGGGACAGTACCCCCCCCTGACGCTTGACGAGATACGAGAATTGAAATAGTCATTGACTATGAAAGGATTTTTTTAAATTAAAATCCGACATAAGAACACTTTGTATGCTTTTAATTATGTTGATTTATCGTTTATAATATGTTCTACCTAATTAAAAGCACACAAGTGTTCTTATTGGCCAGTACAGATTAGTGGGTTAACTCTAATCAATATCCATAAAGATATTGAAATAAATGTTGATGCTGTTATTGATAGGTTTTCCAAACAGCGTACTAGAAAACTTGATTTTGTTTTGTAGTTTTATTTATAGTTTATAGTTTTTATAGTTTTTTTGATAGTTTAGAGTTTTTTTTATAGTTTATAGAAAATTAACTAATAAACGTCGTTGTTTCATTTTTGTTTATGTTATTTACAAATCTATATTTTAATTTTTGTGTTATGTTTTTATATCTTTTTGAAGACAAAAAAATCGCCGTCGTTTTAATTCGACAAAAAAATTCCGACGGTGACTTTTTTTGCGACTTAATCATAGTACCACCCCCATAGCATACACCTATCTACGCCCCTGCAGAAACAGGTATGGTGAGAAAAATATGACACGCTGTTAAAATCTCGCTGAAACTAGAAAGACAATGAAAGGTTTTTAATTAAATTAAATTCAGTGAGTTCAAAAATGCAATTGATTTCATACAAATTATTTCGGAAACATTGCCTGAAGGAGAGTAATTGAGAAGAAATCGTATAGGCATCGGGGTATTTAAGGTATAGAACCTGACCCATTTCATATATATGCTCATCAGAAACAGAAGGATTCTGCTTGATTCGCATGTGAAAGCGCATGTGAAATCATCATTCGCATGTAAAAAGATTAGCATGTGATAGATATGGAAATGCACACGGCACATCGATAGTTACGCCACTGCTAGTTTTCGTTCTGTAATAATTAAAATATATTTCAAACGTGTATCTTTTTATTACCGTAATATTTTACTATACATCCTTTAAATTTTGTTAAATTAATAAAAGGCCCACCCTAGATTTTTTCAAATAATAAAGATCTACACACGCAAAATCATAAAAATTAAAATAACTAGGAAAATCTTTGTCTGAGGGGTAGGCAACCTTAATAATATTTTGAAGATGTATGCATTTCCCATTGAACACCGAAATAATATACTGGGTATTCTATTTAAAATAAAGAACTAACTTGCTTTTAAATGTGGCCAATGTTCCATATTAATTTTGTCTCACTCTGTATAACTTTTCGGGTCACATTCTAATTTGGTTAAACGTACAATAGTTATAGTAATTAAATATCAGTTATATTATCAAATATCTTTTACCTATAAAGGGTAAAATTTTAGGTAGCTGTTATTGAAATTTAAAATTTACTCTTCATTTTCACAAAATGTGAAATATGTCAAAATCCTTATATTTTAGGCATATGCTTCTTTAATAAGACTCTTTTTTTGCTTTATTTTTTTCCTATAATCCGAAAATCAATTAATATATGGGGTGTGCCATTACAAAAAACACAACTTCGAGGCGTAATTTTTTTTGGGGACACCCTCTATAACTCTGTATATTTTTATAAAATATTTTCAATTAACCTACATATGTACGCAAAATTTCACTTCGATATAAACTCCCGTTCTCCTCGGAACCTCCGCTTCGATAGTTTCTGCTTTGACAAAGATTTGCAGCAACACCAAGACCAAGACCAAAAGGGCCTTGGTTTTGGTCTTGCATTTGCTCATCAATATAATTCTCTCTGAAATGCTTTTAAACTTACATGTTTCAGTAGTTGTGTCCAAGCTTGATATGATTGTACTCATGGTTACATTAGAATATGCAATTGTTGTAGTAGGTGGTACGATATAAGTACAATCTAACTGATTGTTATCCACGATAAGGCACTCGCATAAAACTCCAGTAAGATTAGGCGGACAAGAACAAGTAAAATTGTCTATGCCATCTATACAAGTTCCTCCATTTAGACACCTAGAAAAAAAAAATAAAAAAAAACATAGAATTTAAGCAGTAATATCATACGATCGAGAAAAAAAAACGGCGTCAAAGACGGCTAGGGAATAACAATCGATGATAATTTTGGCGAGGTCAAGCCCTAGGTGTCATATACTTGGCCCGCACTCTTTTTTATTTTCTAATAGCGTTTACTGCCAGCTGGCCTTAAGAAGGTTGTAATTTATTTTTATATTGAGTAAAAATAATTTTAGATGGTGTAGTTTAAGATTTGAGAAAAAAATATTTTTTTTGGAAATAGATTTATGTCTGGAATCTTTTTTTTTTAATTCGTCTATAATTAGTGTTAATTTTTGACAAGATTTTTAGGTCTAGATATTGACATCGCCAAAATTAACATGAATTATATTTCCGCAGCCGCTTTAGACACCGTTTTTTTTTATCATACGGTATAATTTAAATCTAAAAAAGAACCTGGGTCCAAGCTGACATTCGTCATATTGAAGTTCACAGAGTTCCCCGTGAAAATCTGGGACACAATAGCAAGTAGAATGGTTTTCTTCCAGAATACAAAGGGCGCCATTTTTACACGGGCTTTCCTTGCATATTTGCATTACTTCTTCACAGTTATGTCCGGTATATCCTAATTAAGAAAATCGTAAGTATACAGGGTGGTACAAATTAGGAGTACAAGCATTGGTATCGTCGGAAACTATCATTAAAACCATCGGAAACATCATTAAATTGCGCAAATTTTAAATCTCGATTATATTTTTAATAACAATATTGATATAGCTTTGTAAACAAATGATCCTAAATAATTAAATATAATTTCGTTAATTTTACCAAAAAGACAAGCACATTCATAGTCTGCGTGTAGATCGATGCAAACACCTCCATTTTGACAGGGAGCTGACATACATTCATCTATCTCATTATTGCACAGTATTCCATCCCAGCCTGAAAAATATATTGAACATTTCAGTCAGATCCAATAAGTTAGGTCTTAAAGTTTCATTCAGGACCTCGAAATTATTCGAATAAATTACTGGTTTCAATTAGCGTTGACGTTTGTTCCTTTAATTTCAATGTAAGGCATTCGCATTTCAGCAGAACGTCAAAATTAGTGGTAGCAATTTTCAATTAGTATAAAAACTTAACAAATATTTAACTTTTGCCACTAATTATACCGTATGATCTAATAAAAACGGCGTCAGCGATGGCTATGATATGACGATCGATGACATTTCCGATATAATTTTACATATAAAATGAAGCCATTTCATTTTATATGTAAAATTATATCGGAAATAACGAAGCCACAAGTGAAGAAGTGAACTAAAAATATTTGTGAGCCAAGTGGCTGCACGGTTTCCATGGTAACGTGACGTCAGCCTAGCGGCAGAATGTAAATCCCCCGCCCCGCAATTTTTTATCGGCGACCGATGTGAATGAGTTTTTGGGCAGTTCGCTTTCGTCTTCCTTTATGCTAATATTCGGCTATTCGGTGAGTAATTAACCGTGTAAAGACTGCAAAGTTGTTGTTGATTATTTATTGTTGTTTGTTAATGGTTTTTGTTGATTTAACTTGTTAATTTTCTTCACAAAGAACTTTTAAATGAACTTATGAGTGAAAATCCGATTTATGACGATATTACTGATAAGTTTGCATCAATAAAGAACAGAAGAATTGAGCTGATTTAAAAAAATTAGTAAGGTTAGTAATATAAATAAGTCAAATTTATTTTGGTTAATATTGCTTAGTAAACAATGTAATAATAATTAATGTAGTAATTGCATAATAATTGATTGGCCCCTCGGTTGTAACCAACAATTTTTTCAATATCGAAATTTCAGTGAAAAAACCGAGGAAAAAACGTTATATGAAAATTACAACCTTATTTCACTGAAATCTCCATTTTGAAATAAATTTCGGGTACAACGTTTTTCGGGGAAGCCATTCAATAATTACAGTGTCCGCCATAAAGTTGAATCCATACCTATGGACTATGGACGTTTTTTTTTGGTATTAGAGTTTAAAAAAAACTCTTTGTGGAAATCAATTCTGCTTTAAAAACAACTTAAAATGCACCAAGTCAAAGTTGAAACATAATTTTGTTTGTCACCTTTTTTGAAATAATAATAATTTAACCAATTTTTAAATATTTCTTTTAAATATTACAGTTTCTTTTAAATACTACACTCTTTTTTATTATCGAACCAGATGTTAGCTGTCAACTTTGACGTGCATTTTAAGTTGTTTTCAAAGCAGAAGTGATTGCCACAAAAAGATTTTCTAAAACTCTAATATAAAAAAAAACGTCTATATTGATCCAACTTTATGGTGGACACTGTATATAATGTTTATTATATTTAATTTAAATTTAATTATATTTTCACTGGAATGCAAAATAATGTGTTTATCGAAAACTAGTTGTATCTCTTTTTACTTAATGCGTTTTAGCCCAAACTAAAAGAAAAATATTATAGGTATTAGTGTATAAATAATAACAAAAAAAAAATGTTGATGAATACACCAAAAATTTTTCAAATAATAATTTAAAAAATGTTGACAAAATGGTGAATGCGCCAAAAAATTTTATACCTACGAGCTATTTTTATACCCACGAGCCGCCACTGGCCTCACCTGGTTGACATCTACACGAAAATGTATCTCCTGGACCTTCAACGCAAACTCCTCCATTGAAGCATCTTGCTTCTTCGGTAATATTGCACACAGCTATATCAATTTCGCAATGGACTCCAGAATATCCAACAGGACATTGGCATAAATAGCCGTTAGGGCCATCTATACAACTCCCGTTGTTCCAGCAAGGATTGCTCTCGCATTCGTTGAAATCATCTTCACATAAATCCCCTAGAAAATAGGATTGAATACTACTCTTATCCCTTATTAGTTTAGAATATCAGAGCCTTTTTGTACCTATTTTTAGTCTTTGTATACTTGTATATTATTTAGGCTGGCCGCACAGTTGAAGCATTCACATGTATTGTTAAAATGCCTAATATCATCATCATCATCATGCATCTTACAAAAGAGCACGTCAGAGAAAACCTTGATCACTATTCCAAAGAATCCAACAATCCTGATCTGAACATTAATAAAAGAGAAATGATAATAATACAAATACTGTCTTCATACCAAAGTTTAAGGTTTAACACACTTAAAACATTCACAACTGAAGAGGTTTTGTCCCTGGATTCGGGAGGCTACTTAGCTAGAGTTGATACGGTTGGTGCCAATATCTTTAGACTATGAGTTATACCATTCTTTGGCTTTGACTGCACACTTGTTTGCTAAGATATTCGACCAGGCATGGTTGGAAATTATTAGTACACGCAACAAGGCATGCCAGCAACAACATGCCAGTACTTACATATGGCGCAGAGACACTTTCACTGACGAAAAAGTCCATAGAAAAAATCCGTGTAGCCCAACGAGCTATGGAAAGAGCAATGCTTGGTGTATCTCTAAGAGACAAGATACTCAATACAGTTATAAAACAGCGTACATGAATAACAGATGCTATATATCTGCTTAAAAAACTCAAATGGAACTGGGCTGGGCATATTGCCAGAAGAACGGACGATAGATGGACCAAGCTAATACTAGAATGGCGGCCAAGACAGGATGCTATCACAAACAGAGGCAGACCTCCGAGAAGATGGTCAGATGACTTAAAGAGATTTAGGGGAAACCGGATCCAAGTGGTACAGGACCGAGAAGAGTGGAAAGATTTGAGGGAGGTCTTGTCAGGCTCGTTGATGGTGATGATGATGCTGATTATCGCTGTTATTTGTCTGATTTCCCCTTCCCTAGTTTGCCAATAATATTTTAGAAATCAATAATTTCAATTTATGTATACAGAGTGTCTTACAAATGAATGTTTTGAATTTAACCAAATATGTATATGTATTTTTAAAAAAAAATTACAAAGAGATTATGTAAATATGTGAGGGAGGCGACACCACAATTGGAAATGGTTGAATAAGCAGAAAATTATGATGATGATGATGATGATGATAGTAGTGGGGGAGTTTCATATTATGTAATATCGTTTCATACCTACAAATCCTGGTGGGCATGTACAGTTAAAACTGGCAATTCCATCGATACAAACTCCGCCATTTTGGCAAGGCGATGACCAACAGTCGTTCCAATTCGTCTGGCATTGTAATCCGGTGTATCCGTCTATGCAATAACAGAAATAAGTTGAGTTCAGGTCATCCAAGCACACTCCGTGAAGACATGGATTACTAAGACATGCGAATCCATTGTAGATTGGGTTGATGTTTGATAGGAACAGTACCAGCCAAAGGAACCTTGGTCTGGTGCTATCCAGTCGAGGCATAACGCATGCTTAATATCCAACCTGGAATATAAGAAATAATTTGCATGTAATTGCATGAGATTGCAAAGCTATCTATGCGATTTTAGCTTTTGAAGTAGGGGTGGGTTGAAACTGAACGAGTCGTTCATTTGAACGAGTATTAAAAATTAATGGGGTGAATCGATTCATCGCTCATAACACGGTTCGTTCGATTGAATCCATAAAATTTGAACGAACGAATCGTTAAGCCGCGTCTACATTGCTGGTGAGCAGGCCAAACGAACACTTGCGTTGTTTGTTAGTTTTTAGTTTGGTTTCATTCATAGGATTCGGTATTTACTGCAGTATGATGATACTAGCATGATTTTTTTTATTTTATTTTGTTCAGAATTACAAATATTTGTGTTTTGTTCTTGGGTTAATAATATTAAATATATCTTTAATAAAATATAACTCTATATTTATATTGCCTACTTATCTTATAATCTGATCTTTTTTTAAAAACTCTATTTATGTACGCCTGGTATTATTTTTGAAATGCTTTGCTTGGAAACTTTAAATAAATAACCCAAACTGGTATGTGAGTCTCTAGTTGCAAAGAATCTTAATGTTATGGCCAATCTTTATTTAACTCTTTCTTGAACCGGAATACACTTCCTAAAAACTGTATTTTTCCTTTCTATATATGAGGTTTGTATAAATGTACCTATGTCCTAAAATGCTTATAGTTTCGTAGTTTCGGAGATACAGGGTGTAGAAGTTTCATTTTTATTTTGTTTTTTTCCAAATAATTTCCGAAGTAACATCAATAGTTGGATGAAAATTGGTGTCTGGGAGTTTTTTTACATGAGAAATTTGATTTTGATGTCAATATGACTCCTACTTGTGGGGGTGCCATCCATATGGGTGCCACCTGCATATTTTTTACTGGTTTGAAGAGTAATAACTTTTCGTCCGTACCTATATAAAATTACTGAGTAAAAAATATACATTTACAACTTTTTTTAAGTAAAAAAGGTCTCTTGGTAAAAATCGCTACGAGTAATGGTTCTCGAGATATTTGGAATCGAAATTATCAATATCTGTCGACATTGGCGAAAATTAGACATGTTGACTAAATCACAAGACTAAATTTAGACCATTGCCTGGAAACTTATATGGTGAAATTTTGATAAAATAATTTAGTACACACTAAAAACACGGTATGTCGCTAGTGGTAGGAAAAATAATTTTTAGAGGTTACTAGTTTATTTGGTTGCCTGTGATATGCATATACAGGGTGTTTCCTAATTAATCTAAAAAATATAAAATCGTTAGAAAATGTATTAAGCCGGGCTATTAATAAGTATATTTATTTTTTTCTCGACAACCGTTTGATGAACAAGAAAAACTTAAAAGATCAATTTTGTTGAAAAAGGATGGCCAGTCAATAAAAAATATATTTTCTTTAAAAAAGCAGTGGTGTACCATTTATGTTAAGCAGTTTTTTAATTTTTAACACCCTGTAGATCAGAAAGGAAGTACTTTAGACCCAATGGTTAGATAAAAATTGTTTTAAGAACACATGAGGAATCACACCATAATTTTTTTAGACTAATTCGAAAACACCCTGTATATTGTCAACTTGACCATGACTGCTGATAAATCAAAAAATACCTTTTCAGTGAAAAAAGCCTGATTTTCGCAGGAAAAATTTTGATTTTTATTGAATTTGGGCCTGCGTTTGCAAATACTGGTTTGTTTTTTAATTTTCTATCTATCTAAATTTTAAATATCATAGTCAGAAATAGTTTTATTATTTATTAACTGTAAAAATGGTGTTTTCTTGTTGTGTTGCATCTTGCAAAGAAACTAACAAAACTGCAAAAATGTACGTGTTTCCAAAAGACGATAAGGTATGTATCTTAGATAAAAGAAAAATATATGGTATGTATTCGTTGTTTGATTTTTCTATAAATCTCGGTCTATTCATTAGACAGCCAGTCGACTTACGATCATTTACATGAAACTCTGTAAAATAAATAAAAAAATAAATTGTAAAATATATATATTCTTATGTTTTATTAAAGTTACTCTGATATACTAATATATCAGTGTAACTTTAAAAATAAATCCTTTGAATTCAAATATAAACATAAAAAACCTTTACATCAGAAAAGGCGAAGGCGCTGGGTTAAACGTAGTCTCCACTAAAAACACGGAGGGGCGCTTTGACCCAAAATTTTACTATTAAGTTTCATATCTATCTTAATAGTAGATTATTTTCTTTTATCTATGATTTAGACTGAAATCATGAATTTGAAATGTTTTTGTGTCAAAAGTTCAACAGAAACTGTTTTATCGGCATTTTTTCGAAGAAAAATTTTATGATTAATTAAAAAAAATAAAAAGGTCCTAAATTTACCATTTCGGCCAAATAACTATCTATTCAACATATTTATTTTTTGTCAATACTGATATGTATTGATTATTTTTTTAAAATATTAAATTTACTGCATTTTAAAAATAACTTTTTTAAGTACAATTTGGTTTAAGAGCGAGTAAAATGCATTTTCTATCAAGTTGGGGATATAGCTCAGTGGTAGAGCATTCGACTGCAGATCGAGAGGTCCCCGGTTCAAACCCGGGTGTCCCCTACCTACTTTTTTTATTTTTTTTATCACGTTTTTTAGTTTTGTAATAGTCTTATTATTACTCTACTTTTTATTAATTAAATAAAATAATTTCAATTTTGATATTTTTAAAATTTTTATTGAATATTTTTAATATTTTATCTATTTTTTTTTGGTCTGTATTAATTATGGTTAATAAACTGTTTTTTCTTTTTATTGTGGTACCAATAATTGGCCAATGTAAGCTAATTACTCTGTATTGTTCTTCGGTCGAGACAATGAAGATTTCACAAAACTAACTAGAAGAAATCTAGGACAACTTAGCAGACAAGTGTTCGCTTTTATTTAAGTGTAGAATTTCCGACTTTAAATACATTCATTTGAGTGCATCATTAAAATGATGACATTTTTAATATACACTGTGTTCCATACAGAGTTGCAAGTTTTTGTTTGATTTAGTCTGTATTTGATTTAAGTCTTTATTTGATTTAAATCATTTTAATGACTTATTAAGTCATTTGATATTAAGTCATTTTTCGAAAGCTGACTTAAAATTTGAAATTTAAGTCTTTTTCTAAATGATTTGTGATTTAAACCTTTATTCCGAAATAGAAAAAGATTTAAGTCTTTTTAGAAAAGACGATGTTGTCGGTGGGTTTATGGAGTTATAATAGTTTTTGGTTTGCCTTTTGTTTCTTTATGTCATAACTTAATTGAGTTTCTATTAATTGTGTGACTATTTAATATACAATGGCTTGCTAGACCACACGTTTGCTGGAATTCTACCAATAAAAGTCCATCAAAGATTGAAAACTAAATTATAAATTAGACTAGCGTGTACCAGCGACTTCGTTCGCATCGAATTATATAATCATATGTAATGGTGATGATAAAGCAAAGCAAGAATTTCCATTAACATACAAACTGGATAACATTTTCTCACATTTATGTCAGCATGAGAAAAAACAATATGGCGATATTATTATATAACCTGGTAATATTTGAGGGGTAGTTTCATCTCGTTGGAATTTGACTTTCGAAAAATCCGTTTGCCAAAAATAAGCTTTTTACGTCAAGCAGTTTAAGCAGAATCGTGGTTAAGAAATTACCGCCTGTATGATTGTTTAAAAAATTTCAAAATATGTAAAAAACAAATAAATTATGCTTGTCCAAGCCTTTTCCCGAAAGACTAACCGTTTTTTAAATAACAAATATTGTAATATTTGAGGGGCGTTTTCACCCTCTTAGAATTTGAGATTCGAGAAACCCCTCCTTATCGAACCTCTACACCCCACAGTCAATCCGTTTGCCAAAAATCAGCTTTAAACGTCAAGCAGTTTAAGCAGAATCGTGATTACTCAATAGTCATATTTTATGAAACACCCTGTATAAATTTATAAAAAATCTTAAAATATGTAAAACAACAAAATAAAATATACGTGTTTAAGAGTTTTTCGAAAAACTCACCGGTTTTTAAATAAAAAATATTTTAATATTTGAGGGATAGTTTCGCCCCCTTAGATTTCGAGTTTCGAAAAATCCCTTCTTATCGAACCTCTACACCCTAAAGTCAATCTGTTTTACAAAAATCAGCTTTTTACGTCAAGCGCTTTAAGCAGGATCGTGATTAATCAATGACCAGATTTTTCGAAACACCCTGTATACATTTTTAAAAAATCTTAAAATACGTAAAAACAAAATAAAATATACGTGTTTAAGCGTTTTTTCGGAAACTTGACCGTTTTTTAAATAAAAAATATTGTAATATTTGAGGGGCGGTTTCACCCTCTTGGAACTGGAATTTCGAAAAATCCCTTCTTATCGAACCTCTACACCCTAGAATCAACCTGTATGCCAAAATTGAGCTTCTTACGTTGAGTGGTTTGAGCCGGATCGTGATTAATCAGGATGTTATATATTAAGTATAGATTACCATTAAAACGCGTTTGGATTTTGAGGACTTCAAAAAATTCAACTATATTTTCATGTTTTTAAAATGTCAATAATAAAATAAGTGTTTCCTTTTGTAGAGACTATATGGAGACATACTGTATAATATCATTCTTACTTAATAATAATAAAATAAATTAAAAACATGCAAAACTAATCAATTTGCTATACTCCTTTATATTTTTATGCATTGTCTCATTAATTATTCTGTGGTTTTTACTATCGCACGTAAAGCTTATTTCATACGCCTGTAATAATTTTTGAAGAATTTTTTCATTATTTTTTTATGTAATAGAAAAAAAAACGGCGTCATAGGCAGCTGGGGAATGACAATCGATGATAGTTTTAGCGAGGTCAAGCCTTAGACGCCATTTACTTAGCCCGTACTCTTCTTTATTTTTTAATGGCGCTTAAGAAGGTTTGTATTTTATTTTTATATTGAGTAAAAATGATTTTTAAATTTTTGCATTAGATTTGTGAGTTTGGAAACGTTATATCATTTTTAAATCTATCTATAATGTTAATTTTTAAACAAGTAAGTCTAGAGATTGACAAAAATGCCGAAATTATCATCAATCGTCATTTCTCAGCTGTCTTTGACGCTGTTTTTTTCGATCATACGGTGTATTAGTCTAATGTAACAACTTATCGATATAATTTGATCAATGAATACATGGCGTGAAAGTCCCAATTTTAGTGTTAGTTTAGACGTTTAGACCTAATTAGCCGATTAAGTAATTTTATTTCTTCAATTAGATTCCGCAATTAAGAAAATTAGAATATAGGGTGATACCATTGCAACGTGTTGCAATCTATATTTAAATTTACTTTAACACGTTTAGTTTCAAATTAGTTTATTGAGTTCTTATGCAAGTGAATAATTATTGTTAGTTCATTAGTTGTAAAGACTGTTCAGCCATCGTTCATCGTTACGTCATCATTATCTGTCAAATATGAGTTTTAGGCTGTGTCTGACATCAGTTCATATTGTTTAGAAAAAAAAATTGTTGTATAATTTAATATACCAAGCAGCTCTTCATTTTGACTTTATAGAGCAAATGATTGTAACAGATCTTTTATTTAGATTAAAGCTGCAAAAATTAGTTTAAACCGAATTTATTATCGCTATGTTGGTCATATTGCGCCGTTTTCAGCAAGGTTGTCGTTTATTATTTGACACTTATCCTAATGTCAGTCATTATTTTGTATAATATCGTGTTGTTGTTGAATCTTTGTGAGTAATTCTCGTTTTTTGCCTATTTTCATAGTATTTTTTTAAAAATTGTACTTCAAACTTTTTTACCAACAGTTCTTTTAAAAACTAAATTTTCGTGTTTTTGTATTACATTTCTTGAAATTGTGTGTTGAAAATATGCCGTCAAATGAAGTTGTCATTTCAGAAATTTATCTATTTAGTGCTTTATTATTATTATTAAAAACTCATACCTACATCGAAAATATTAGCCATGAATTACACTAGCGAAGAAAAAGTATCGATGATTAAATGGTATTATCAAAGAAATAGTTATCAAAACGTGTAGGACATGTTTGCTGCTCTGTATCCGAATAGACCGATACCTGGAAAATCTACAATCGCAAGGAATATCCAGAGATTTGAGACCAAAGGTACCCTAATAAATAACTGCAGATGTGAAGCAAGGCAGGAACAAAGAGAAGATGCAAGAAATGATCGACTTGGTTGTTTTATTGTTCGTGGAAGAGAACGATGGGAAGATCAGCACAAGGAAACTTGAGGATGAAATAGGAATAGATCACACTACAGCGTTTCGAATTTTGAAACGACATAAATACTATTCCTTCAAATATGAAAAGCACCAAGAGCTACGAGATGGGGACGAAATACGGCGGCAGGCGTTTTGTTTTGATATGATGGAAAGAGCAAACACGGATAGGGAATTTTTAAAAAACATATGTTTTACTGACGAATGCACGTTTACCTTAAATAATGAACCCAATGTTCAAAATTATCGATATTGGAACAAAGAAAACCAACACAGGTTTGTCGAAACAAGGACGCCATATTCACAGAAAGTAAATGTTTGGGCAGGGATATTCGGACACAATATTATCGGGCCATTATTTCTTACGCGAAATTTAAATGCAGAATATTATTTGAAACTACTCGAAAATTATATTTTACCAGCTTTACATGATGCCGCTAGGGAAAACCAGGAAGTTTGGTACCAAATGGATGGCTGCCCGGTACATAGTACCCTGGCTGTTCAGTAATATTTAGACAATCGTTTTAATGGAAACGTTATTGGCCCAAATCATACAGTAAATTGGCCAGCAAAGTCTCCTGATATTTCGCCAAATGATTTCTTTTTCTGGGGCCATTTAAAAAACAGGATATACAAGGATAAAAAATACCCAAATCTAGACCAGTTAAAAAATGCTATTTCTGCCGAATGCAATAGAATTTCAGTTTACCAACTAGCGAATGTAAGAAGAGAATTTTTTGATCGCCTGGGTTATTGTCTAGCATTCGATGGAGTAATATTTGAACATCTTCTTAAATCCTAAAGCAAATAAAGTAATAATAGTAAAGTTCTAACAATTTAATAGTACCTAAACTAATAAGTTATTGAATATTGTAATAATACTATAATTAACCTTGTAATTGATTACTTTATTTTACTTTAATTCATATTAATTTGTATTTATAAATACATCTTTAAGATTTCCGATGTAGGAATGAGTTTTCAATAATAATAAAGCACTAAATAGGTAAATTTCTGAAATGACAACTTCATTTGAGAGTTATCTTTTACCTTGACTAGTGCTCATAAGTAAATACAGGGCCATAAGACAGGATAAATATTTAAAAAGAAATCGGCGATAACGCGTAAACGAGCTAATCAAAAATATCTAAAGTTATTCTTTTGAATGTCGGTTTTAGTGCTCTTCATTAAACCTAAATAGAATTATTCTCTAAAATAATTAGGGAAGTCAATAATTGACCCCATTAAAATTTACATGGGATTTTCTATGTCCGGTCCGACGATATGTCCCGATCCTATGTCCCGTCCGACGATTCAACACCCGGTATACGATTCTATACCTATTAGTAGTTGCCTGTTTGAAAATTTGTATATAATTACAGATATTTAAAAAATATATAAAAAGGTGAATTTTTTGACATATCTATTTTAAGGATATTATTGAAGAGCACATAAACACACCTATATTTGCATTAAAAATAGTTACTAACAATGTATTTATATAAATTATTACCAATGGAAAAACAAGCAGGTAAGTGACAAAGGCAACACGAGCACTTGAGTACTTTTAGTTGATGACAGATCTATCATTGATTTAAATAAAGAAATGTGAGATCATTTCTAAATATTGAAAAAAAAAACAACAACATAAAATAACACTTATTTAAATTCTCTTAAATATATTTTTAAGTAATAAATATATAAACTAACCGCGTGATCGAAAAAAAACGGCGTCATAGACGGCTGGGGAATGACAATCGATAACAACTTTGATTAAATCAATCAATAGTCAATCTCTAGATGTCATTTACTAAATATCGTCTGGTCAAAAAAAATATCGTAGACGTCAATAACAAAACTTTTGTCAATTGACAAGAAAAATTAAATAAGGATAGAACGTTTCCAGATACACAAATCTATTTAAAAAAAAATTAAAATAAAAATAATTAAAAGAGTACGGGCCAAGTAAGTGACATCGAGAGCTTGACCTCGACAAAATTATCATCGATTGCCATTCCCCAGCCGTCTTTGACGCCGTTTTTTTTCGATCGTACAGTATAAATGACATTTCGAATGTTTGCTCTAACCGGATTGATATAATCTGATTTGTTTAAACCCTTAAGCTAAAGCAGGCATAAGAAAATGTGCTTCTAAAAATAAGAAGACCTTATGATAATTTTGTTTCATACTTTTAATTTTAAATCATGAAAGTTACTTAAAATTTTTATGTACTTTGAAGTTCAATATATTTTGTTTTAATTGGCCGATTTTGGTGAATTTTTAAGCAATTTGTAGCTAAATTATTTGGCTTTTTGGTCTCTTTTTACACTAAAAAAAAATGGCTCCGGGAGGCACGTATAGCCGCCCATACTAAAATATGTTAATAAAAAGTTGGTAGGCACTTTTATATAGTTTCAAAGTAAAGGAATATTTTTTTCAATTTTTTTATCTCAAAAATTGCGACTTTGACTGATTTTGATGTTATTACAAATTTGGATGCAAATATTATTCCTAATCTTAAATTGAAAACCGCGTTTTGCTAGCTACTGTAATTTTGGAGTTACGATTTTTTAAAATTTTTAACGTTACTGTTTGTTCAAAAGCGAATATCTCATAATAAAGCTTTTGAGATAAATCAAAAAACAAAATATCGAGAAAATATGCACCTTGATGATAAAGTAGTTTTTAAATTCCTTTCTTTGCCAAATCATTGTACAGAGCGTTTCAAACTTTCACAAAAACATCAACATTTTGTTTTCCTTCGTATAATACACACATGGGATCTAGAAATTTTTAAATTAAAAAGAGTCTATAAAGTCAAATAATTTAAGTACAAATTGCTTAAAAAATCATCAAAATCGGTCAAATAGCACAAAATATATCGTACTTAAAAATAAATGAAAATTTTAAGGTGACCCTTTTTCATGTTTAGTTAGTTTATAGAGGTTTATCAACCTAGAAAACTAGTTATTTTCGTTGAAGTTGCTATGGAAATTCTAAAAGAAAAACTATATTGCGTGTGGAAACTCAATTCAAAATACGTGAGCTTCGAGCTCATCGCAACATATCGATCAAATTCCTGTATATTTTCGAAAAAAAATCATGAGATTTTGATGAATACCCCAAATACAAACATACCCTCATTCTTTTTTACATACAAAACAAGTATATTACTTTACTCACCTTGTTTTACCAAAAAAAACTTATTTTTTCTTTACTTCAAGTCTCAAGTTTTCCCAGGCAAAAATTTTCACGCTTCACAACACTATCCTACCCCTTCTACTGGAAAACTATCTCTCACCCTCACCCCCTTGCGATGAAAACCCGGAAAGGGGTTTTCTGGCCAACCCGGTAGCCATGGTAACGTGTAAACAACAACCGGTGACGTCACAGAAATAATACGGACACGTTCGGGTATACGGGTGAGCGAATATAGAGCGATGTTGCAAGGTGTTGTTAAATTTAATTAATTTTATGAATTTTTTTTAGAAGATTAGATTGTGTAGATTGTATGAGAGGGGGAAGTTGGATTTTTTCAGTCATAACTCATCATACAGTCTTAGGGCTTTGCTAAAAGCCAGTATCTGAAACGGTTTTACTTAGGTTAGAAACATCTGCCCAGCAGTTAAAAGACCATACCATAACTTGGTATACTGATGCTTCCAAAACCAATGCGGGAACAGGGATCGGAGTATTTGGGTCGAGAACTAAATACTCCGAACCAATGGGCACCTACCCTAGCATCCTACAGGCAGAAATCTACGCTATCGAAAGATGCGTACAACTTATCTTAGATAGGAACTATCGGAAACAAGAAATAGCCATCTTATTTGCTAGTCAAGCAGCGTTAAAAGCAATCAACTCAGTATCAGTCAATTCGAAATTGGTCAAAGAATGCACAGAGAAGCTGAATAAATTAGGTAAAGAAAACAAAGTCCTCCTACTCTGGGTGCCTGCTCACCAAGGGATAGAAGACAATGAAAAAGCAAATGATCTAGCTAGAAAAGGAGCGAATATTCCACTAACTGGACCAGAACCGTTCTGCTTTCCAAGTGGTAACCAACTCAAGGCGGAACTCAAGAACTTGGAAGACTCCATCCGCTGGAATGGGAATCTTGCAACGGTCTAAGACACTCGAAGAAGTTTCTGAGGGCTTACGATCAAGAAAAATCAAAGATCTTCCTGGATTTAAGTAAGAACAATCTTCGGATTGTCATGGGGTTTTTAACAGGACACGTCTCCTCAATGAACACCTCAGTAGATTGAAACTATGAAGAAAAGACGAATGCAGATTCTGTGGGGAAAATGGGGAAACACCAGTACACCTCACCACTGAGTGCGCCGAGACGACAACAACATTCGTGATATAGTTATCTTTGGATTTTTTGGCTATATACTTAGGACACCGTGTATATAGGCTTCATTATTGTATGTATATGGACAGCAATTTTTGTGGTCAATTTTTTTTTGCTTTTTTTTGATGAAAAAATGAAAAAGGTTCGAAATGTCGAAAAAGTAATAAATTATAAGAATATTTTTTTACGTTTATACCTAACAAATAGTTTTTTATACGTAACAAATAGTTTTTTACGTGTAACAAATAGTTTTTTAAACGTAATAATTTCATTTAATTTCACAAAATTTGTATTAAAATATCAATATTTTTGATAAACACGTGGACTGCTCACAAATACATGTCGCGTGTCGCGTCACTACGTATTTCTAAGCCGTTACCACTTTTCGTTACTACTAACTCGTGTGTCACGGCCTTGAATTTTTACTCCCAGCCCGCGTAAAGAAGTTTTACTTAAAAAAAAGCATTTCGAGGTTCATAAGTTATAAAATTCAGCTCCGTATGTTTAACAATAAAGATGGTTGCTATGTAAAGAAAACAATATAATAATTATTATAGCAAGGAAATGTGAAATTTGTATTGTCGGTAAAAACGAGCAAGGTACGAACCATGGTGGTACCGAAATTTGACAACACTGTACAGGGGAACTATTAACCAGACCGCATTTTTAATACAACAGATGGAAAGTTAAGTCTTAAGTCAGTACCGATGGTTTCACCTCACCGTTCAGGTAAACCAGGTGCCAACGTTTTACTGAGTGGTACCACCGTGGTACCGTCTAGCGTGACTTAGTTCGTGGGTGTTTTGTTTTTGTATTCCAAAGTTAACAATAATATGAATTAAAAAGTTCCAAGGTACGATGTAATTTCTTATTTTGGTAAAGGTACTATTTAGAAACTCATCACATTTTTGATGGAATGGATTTAAAAAATTAAATGTTTGTAATTTTTCATATCTTTTGAGTTGTCAATAAAAACAGTTTTTATATCCACTAATATTTTCATTTTTTCATTGTGTCGTATAATATTTATTAAATACTTATTGTTGTTTATGTATGTTTAGATAGTATATGATTTTTTTTATACTTTCTTTTAAATCTTTGGTTTGGTTGAATGAAAATGTAGTGATTACCATATTTACTTCAGAAATGTTGCTTGTTTTTAACCAAACGGTGTTTCTCTCTCTAAGACATTTTCTCTCAAGAAAATTTTCTTCACTATACAGTTTCTGGGAAAGTGTGCTACATCATTGTATTTGCGAGGTATTAGGCTTTTAGAAAATGAACTAAAAATCCTAGGTTTCTGTTTAAAACACAATAATTTCATAATGCAACACTTATATTAAACTTTTTTTTTCATACAGAGTTGTTCACCACATACGACACGGAGTATTGTAGCTAAACGATTAGATTTTTACAATTTGTAAGTTTTCGTTTGGTCTAATGAGGTGTAAATTCTAAGAAAATGCATTTTCTAGGAAAACTTGAAGAGATGGCTAAAAAATTGTATAATACAATTTGATAGACAATTACATTGTGCATCTGATTCACGTAAAATATAGGTATAAGGTGTTCTATTTAAATTAAACAAGTTATTGCCGTTTAAAACTAGTAATTATTTAATATAAATTTTTGGACACTCTGTATAAGGAAGTAAAATTTTTATTATTGCAACACAATATTTGATCAATAAATAATCTTCAGTAAATATTTAGTATTAAAAACTTTGATACCCTTGGAGAAATGAAGCCTTAAAATTTTTACTGCAATTTCATAAAATTAAAAATATTTCAAAAACGGTAAGGTTTAAGTGTTAATTAAATTTACCTTTATTTCAATCATAGAATCCAAAAAAAGAATAATATACAGGGTGTTCCATTTAAAAAAATACAACTATAATATTTTTTTACTTATTTGGGACACTCTGTATCTTGTAAAAATATTTTTAAATTGTAGCTCTAATAGTCCTTCAACGAACCCAAAACTTCTTCTTCTTCCTGTGCCTTGTGCTTAGCCGCACGTTGGCGATTGTCTGTACTCTTCTAAAAATTTAATCGTTTAGCTACAATACTCCGTGTCGTATGTGGTGAACAACCCTGTATATTTGTCAACTCAGTTTGTAGCTCTGAATTCAGTGAAGGAACTGTAGCAAATGAAGGAACTGTAGTTTAATTTAATTAATGTATAATCATTTAGGAAATAATAGATAAAAAATAAAAAAATAGATAAAAATAATATTTTATACAGGATGTCCTCGGACTACAAGAGGAAAAACTTTTTATTACTTATTGACATTTTGAGAAAAAATCATTATCAAAATGGCATTCTTTATCAAAAATTTTGCTTGATCTAAACACCTTTATACCATTCCAAATTTCCATACCGTTTTAGAGTAAGTTAAAGAAAAAACACGAAGATATGGCAGAATTTTCTTAAAAATCCCCATGTAGGTCTTTAAACGCCCTAAAAATCAAAAGGCGTTTCTATGGTAACATAATTTCGACTTTGATAGAATTTTTTCTCTAAGATGGTATGGAGATTTGGAAAAGAATAAGCGGAGTTAACCGTTTAAAAACAAGCATATTTTTTTATGAAGAATGCATTTTTCCCAAAGTCTCTATAATAAAAAAGTTTTCCTCCTGTAAAGACAATCCGGGGACATACTGTATATTAACTCGTAGTACTCTTTTAGTACTAATTAGTCTCTTAGAAACTGTTCCGTTTTATGAACATCTGCATGGTGCAGATAAGTGTATCTATGCAATAAACCATCTGCCTGATATACAGAGAAAATCTGACGTTTTGACAAAATGCACTAAAGAAAGAAAAGCTTAACTTAACGACCATATAAGTAATGGCTTCGTAGAGTAGGTCAAAAGAAACAAACAGTAAAAAAGAGATATCTAGACCGTGGAATAGATAGTAGATAGATAAAATAAGAGAGTAAGATTCATATTTTAAATAAAGCGTGAATAACATCGTAAGCAAAAATTATAAAACTACTTAGTACGTGGTCAGAACAATTTTTTTAACTTAATTTTGTTTTCTTGATTCTAAAACACCCTGTGGTTGATGATTTAATAAAGTAAGAAACTGAGAAACTGCTTTCTGAACAAGATGCATCATTTCTCCATACTTTGTTTTTTGGTTCGTCTTAATAGCTTTATTTTTATTGAAGATATTCGCTTTTGAAAAAGACTGTAACGATTCACAACAGTCTTTGTTTTGGGCCCTAATAATATATAGTTCATACCAATTAAACTTTTAGTGACGTGATTAAGCTTGACCGGTACAGCGTTACCCACTTTTACATATTTTCTTTTAATCAAAATATTTTAGGAAACAGAAATAAATCAATTATTAATATATAAACAGTTCTCATTTATATCAATAAAACTCACCTCCTTAAATGCACTTGAGGGACATAAAGGGTCATTACTACCGCATTCCCGTTCAAAATATTTTAATAAGGTTGCGATGAGTTTTTGCATTGGCTATTAAACTATCTTGTACCGAACAATGTTCGACTGCAAGATCTGCTAGTAAGCATTTTTAAGTTAAAGCATCACAACACAATTCATTTAAACGAAAAACTCGCAATACAAAACTAAAGTGTCAAAACGAATGACGATGTCAGGTAATAAATAAATAAATGTGGCAACTTGACATTTTTTACAGCAGAGCTACCACCTGAATCCCCAGCGGGAAATTTAAATTCCAATTAGTCAGCCCAGCGCCGAATATGTCCATTAGTTCGCGACGATGAATTTAAAAATGTCATATTACTATTGTTTATGTTGACAGTTGCTCTAGTAGAGATGGTTTCAAGTCCAGAGGTTGTATCGATTGCTGTTTGAAATATTGTTTCATTTTTTTAGGACTAAAACCAAAGGTTTTAATGATAAAATTTCTTTACCATTCCACAGGGTCTTTTAAACTATGGCGAAAATAACAACATTTTGTTTTGCCTTGTATAATAGACATATTGGAACTTTAAATTTTAACTCAAAAAGAAGGCTAGACAGTCAAATCAGGCTACCACCTGAATCCCCAGCGGGCAATTTAAATTCCAATTAGTCAGCCCAGCGCCGAATATGTCCATTAGTTGGCGACGATTAATTTAAAAATGTCATATTACTATTGTTTATGTTGACAGTTGCTCTAGTAGAGATGGTTTCAAGTCCAGAGGTTGTATCGATTGCTGTTTGAAATATTGTTTCATTTTTTTAGGACTAAAACCAAAGGCATGCTTTTAATGATAAAATTTCTTTACCATTCCACAGGGTCTTTTAAACTATGGCGAAAATAACAACATTTTGTTTTGCCTTGTATAATAGACATATTAGAACTTTAAATTTTAACACAAAAAGAAGGCTAGACAGTCAAATCAGGCTACCACCTGAATCCCCAGCGGGCAATTTAAATTCCAATTAGTCAGCCCAGCGCCGAATATGTCCATTAGTTGGCGACGATGAATTTAAAAATGTCATATTACTATTGTTTATGTTGACAGTTGCTCTAGTAGAGATGGTTTCAAGTCCAGAGGTTGTATCGATTGCTGTTTGAAATATTGTTTCATTTTTTTAGGACTAAAACCAAAGGCATGCTTTTAATGCTAAAATTTCTTTACCATTCCACAGGGTCTTTTAAACTATGGCGAAAATAACAACATTTTGTTTTGCCTTGTATAATAGACATATTGGAACTTTAAATTTTAACTCAAAAAGAAGGCTAGACAGTCAAATCATTTAGCTACAAATTAAAAACCACCAAAATCGGCTCAGTAGAACAAAATATACAAGGTGTCCCTGAAATATGTGCAAGTATTTTAACTGGTAGTATAGTTCAACTCCAGAAACACGCCTATCAGGTTTTTTTTCACGAAAAAACATTCTTTGAAAATACGAAATTTTTTGAAACATTTTCTGGATTTTTTTTTAGTTTTTAGTTAAAAACATAATTTCTTGATAATATGGCAAAAGATCCAGAAATCCAGAAAAGATCCAGTGATTCCCAAAATTTGAGCAAAAAAATAATTTTTTTTGGAAATTTTGAAAGTAAAACTCCGTTATTTTGGACTTATTTGAAAAATGATAAAGAGAAAATATGTTTTTTTATCGAGATCTACCATACCTCTTAAAATACTTGCACTTATTTCTGGTTTCTGGGACACCCTGTATTGAAATTTAAATGTCTATTTTGACTTTTAGATACTGTTTTTTTATTTCAGAAAACATAGTTTTATCTCAAAATGAGTTAATCCAAAATGGACCCTGGTATAGTATGTTTCCAGCATTGCGGGCCAAAAGTTTTTTGCTTCAGACTACCAGAATGTTGCCCAGTATGTGATGAGGATTTGGAAAAAGCCAATTTTTCATTGTTACCATTCAGGTGAGACTATACTGGGTGAGTCTTAAATAAGTGCACAAATATTTTTAGAGGTTGTATATTTCCACCCCAAAAACACATCTTAAAATTGAAAATCGCGAGTTTTTTTAAACAAATTTTGGATTGTTTCTTAAATCTTAGCTAAAAAACATAATATCTTCATAATATAGCAACACAGACTAAATTTATAAGAAAGAAAATCCATAAAAGATCCAGTGGTTTTCAAAATTTAAGCAAAAAATAATTTTTTTTTAAATTTCCAAACTAAAATATCTGGGTTATTTTGGAGTTATTTGAAAAACGGTAAAGGAAAAAATTTTTCTTTTATCGAGATCTACAAGCCCTGAAAATATTTGCACTTATTTAAGATTCGCCCTGTATATGTTTTATATTAGATATTTTCTGACATTTGGAGACTACTCTACTGGGACAACTAAATAAGATTAATAAAAATACTAAAAATGTACTAATTTAATGAAAATTGTTTTAGATTACCATATCCTTTTATTAGAGCATCTCAATACCCATGTGCTGTCGTTATAAAACCAACAGCAGGAGATTTTTTAAAGTAAGTATATATCGTCATCATAATTTTACTTTGACAAAAGTAAAAGGCTTGACAACAGCCAGTATCTGAGACGGTAGTTTTACAGAGGTTAGTTCTCCATCTCCGTTCTCCGATATCAGTCGTACAAGAGTTTAGAGGCACAATTTTTTTTTGTCGTCTCGGCACACTTAGTGATGAGTAGGGTTGCTACCTTTTTGCAAATTAAAAAAAAGGACATTGGACTGAGGAAGAGGGGGGGGGGTAACCTGCTGATTTGGGAACGGCTGATTATAAATTGCTACTTTACAATTTTGAAAAGTTCTTTTTAAGATCAAAATGGTCAAAAATAAAACTGTTAATATTTGGTGTCTAAATTATCATTTCAGATTAAATGACGAGTTCTAAATAATGATTTTAAACAATAGTAGACTGTTTTATTAGCTTGACATTACAGCCGAAACACAAAAAGTAATTTTTTAACAATTTACAACGTTGCCTAAATAATATAAAAATATTTAAAAGTAATACCCTAGAAGTAATTATACAGTGAGTCTTAAATAAGTGCAAATATTTTCAGGGGTGGTATTTTTCGACCCCAGGAACACGCCTATGAGGTTTTTTTTGCTAAAAAAGATGTTAAAAATCGTACATTTTCTTTTAGATTTCCCTGTATATTTTGCTGCCTGTTCACCGCAAATTTTCCCACGGTATAATTTCTTAATCTCAAATATTACCATATAGTTACGGCTTTACCCTATGGTTACGGCAATAAAAGGGATGCAAATAAAGAAAAAATTCGTTGCTCTCAAATTAAAAAAAAAAAAAATATTTTTCAAACTTAAATAACTCGGTTATTTTGGACTTACCTGAAAAATGGTAAAGAGAAAATATGTTTCTTTTATCGAGATCTACCAGCCCTGAAAATATTTGCACTTATTTAAGACTCACCCTGTATATCGAGAAATTATGGTTACACTCGTTGAATTTGACATTTTTTGTCATTTTAATAATATATTATGAAATGAATATCTTTTCGTACTTTTTTGCTTAGGCGTAAAAATGCTTTACTTTTATACCTAGGCGTTAAAATTACTTTTGTGACGTTTGAAAAAAACATTTATTTATAAGTTTTATAACATGTCTAATTAAAGTTAAAAGATGAAAGGAATGTTACTGGTTGCTGTAGATAACTTTTTCAGGGAAAATACGTAAATAAAAAGGACTTTTTAGGTCAAAAAATGTCACAAGGACAATTTGCCCCAAAAAAGGACAGGTGGCAACTCTAGTGATGAGGTGTTCTGGTGTTTCCCCATCTTCCCCACAAAATCTGCATTCGCCGTTGCTTCTTAGCTTCAATCTACTGATGTGTTCATTGAAGAGACAGTGTCCTCCTAAAAACTCCGTGACATCCGAAGAATTTTCTTACTGTAATCAAGGAATTTCAAGGAATCTTTGATTTTTCTTGATCGTAAGCCCTGATAAATTTCTTGGAGTGTTTTAGACCGTTGGAGGATTCCCATTCCAGGTTACAGATGGAGTCTTCCAGGTTCTTGAGTTCTGGTTTAAGTTTGGTAGTAGGCTTATTGGTCTATAGTTTCTCTGATGTTATTGCTGCCTTTCTTATGCATTATGAATCAGTATTATACAGGGTGGCCCATCGACAACTTTTGCCCCAAAAATGATTGCAAAATATTCAACCCTCTAAGCGGGGGTGTCATCCCCCAACTTTTTTCAAATGGAAAGGGGGGTCAAGTGGCGCCGCAATGAAAAGAGCTTTCTATTCTCTATATTTCCCCGCTTCAATTTGAAAAGTTTATTTAAGCATTTATCAGAGTAAATGATAATTAAGGATAAATTCGACCAATTTGCTGTTTTTTCTTATTATTTCTAGATGTTTACTCATTTTTTCACTTGCCACAACGTTGAACGATCAGGTGCGGTAGTTGCTAGATAACTGTTCTGGGACTTGTACGTTGATGTTCTTCTCAATATCGTTAAACTGACCCACAATAGAATTTTCAAAAATACCAGCCCACACGTTAAATTTCTGAGGGTTTTGTGTGTGCACCTCGTGAAAAACCCTGGGGTTGTTTTCAGCCCAGCACCGACAGTTGTGCCGATTAACTAGATCGTTCAAAAAGAAAGTACACTCATCCGAAAAACACACATTAAATAGGAAATTATTATCACTCGCCACTACCTTTCGTTCAATCATAGTTTCACAAAATTGCAAGCAACGATCAGAATCGTCCTCGTTGAGTTCTTGTACCAACTGAATTTTGTACGGGTGGAACTTGTGTTTTTTTAATATCTTTTGGAAACTTGTACGATTCCCGCCGGTCTCATTGGCTAATTTTCTTGTACTAAGAATACTGTCCATGGCAACTTGGCCCAATACGAATACCGCTATAGCTTCATTTACTACAGGATTTTCCCTCTGCCTCTTTTTATTCATAACGGAACAAGTTTCGCGAAATTTTGCTGGCGAACTGGCGAACTGGCGAACAATTTTGCCATAAAGGTGTTTGTCAGGATGGCGTTCATTGAATATCTGCGCAACCCGATTGCAAACATCTAGAAATAATAAGAAAAAACAGCAAATTGGTCGAAGGAATTTATCCTTATTATTTACTCTGATAAATGTTTAAAAAACTTTTCAAATTTCAATCCTTCATATTTTCTCAACGACTCGACCGATCTTCAAAAACGAAGCAAGAAAGTATAGAGAATGGAAAGCCCTTTTCATTGCGGTACCCCTTGACCCCCTTTCCCATTTGAAAAAAATCGGGGGATGACACCCCTCTTAGAGGGTTGAAGATTTTGCAATAATTTTTGGGGCAAAAGTTGTCCCCCTCACAAACAAAATTGACGTGTTTTTGAATTTTCTGAAAAAAAAAATTACCCTGGCCGTTATGCCTTGCGGAACGTTTTCGATGGGCCACCCTGTAGATACAAGTAGGGGAGAGCGGGTACAATTGTAGCGCGGTACAAATGTAACAGGTACCATAACTTTTTTAAATTCAAATACATTATTATGGCACCTTGTCAGTTATTCAAGTTCAAGACTCAGTACAATCTGACGACAGTTGGAGACTTTTTGCAATGGTGCAGTGACATAACAATAGAGCTATATCTATTTATCGACACAAAAGCAAAACTTAAGTCATTTTATCAGTTCTTAAATAACTGATAGTTTACAGTCAATGTAGGTATATACTTTTGTAGCCTATGCATGTATATTTAACATGAGATGTTCACTTTAAGGTAAATTTTGCTCTAGTTTTTTAATTTCAATAAAAGTGCAGGGTTGTCAGTTCGGTACAATTGTAACAATTGCAAAGGGTACTTTTGTAACATGTTACAATGATACCTACCCATTGTTTCGTTAGATGTACTCATTTTTTTAATTAACATGCCTAAGTAAAAATAATTAATAGTGATAAGGGACCTACAAAACAACTTATAAAAAGAGCTGCGGGTTTGGTTGTGAACGAAAATCTTGGATTTCGACAAGTTGCTAGAAGTTTGGACCTCTGTCATGTAACACTTTTCCGTTATTTAAAAAAAATACAAGCTGGTGAAACTCCTAAAGTGGTTACAATCCACATACTCGAATTTTATCCCCCGAACAAGAAAAAGCATTTTTGGAAAAAAGGGAAATTCGCAAGTTGATATTTTTTTAAAGTTTTTAATTATCTTGTTTTTAATATTGTATTTTTTATAGGCGCATTAGTTTTTTTTAGAACGCTGTTTGGAAAAATCTACGATTGTGACTAGGTTAGAATTATTCTTAGAAAAAATTCTATAGAATAGGTATAACTTTTGAAGATTGTTGTCTGCACCAGTTTTTTCACATATTGTAAATAAAAGTTGGCATTCATTTTCTAGCAATTATTATTATTTGAATGCATCCAAATCATATCTTAACGTTTGTCAGATTCTAGGAGCTAAAATTTTATTTGCTTCAGATGAAAAATCAATATACTAAACACGTTACATTTGTCCCTCCTCTATGTTACAACTGTACCACCGCGGGGTACAATTGTTACACATGTCATCACACCACTGTTGCCTTTTTTAAGACTACATAGGTGAATATACCTTCGATTTCTTATGTGCATTTTGATGTTAAATGTCTAGGCTATCTAAAGATAATAAGTACACTTCGCGAAATTTCTCATTCTATTTTTGAAAAATAAATTTCTAAAAACTGTTACAACTGTACCCGCTCTCCCCTACGAATAAATTTGTAAAATATAATGTTGTTACCTTAATTTTAGCGAAGTAAAGTTAATTTTTCGCATAATTTCTAGGAAAATAAATGTATTGTTAACTCTAAATCATTGTAAATATGAAAAACGTCTATGTTAATGTTTTAAACAAACTTTGTCCGTCATTATACAATAATTACGTTATTTTTACTTGCTTGATGTCCGGTTTCATGGTCGAACGTATTCTTACTGTTTCGTTGACCTCCAAATTATAAAAAAGTGGTAATTGTCTCTGGTTCTGTACAAGTTTATTGTTTATTCTGCGTTAAATTGTTCATAATTCTAACTAGTTTTTTTATTATAAAGTCTTTGAACTAAAAGTGTGTTAATTAGTTTAATAGACTTTTGCAAAGCATAATATAATGGAAAACTTGCTACTTTACTTATACATGGTTATGTATCTAAGAAACTGTTAATAGAACTCTTTAAAGTTATGGATTCGATTCAGGCTACCTCTCAACTTTGAAGCTCTTCCTCTAAGCCGTTTTAAAATTATTCGCAAAATTAGGTCCTTGAAAAAGTAATTTGTACAACGGTAAAACACTCCGACTACCAGAAATTTATTAAACTATTACTTTGCTGCCACTTTACTTTTTGGTTGTCGCTGTTAACTGAGTTCACAATTCTTCTCCATTGAGTACTATTGTGCGCTGCTTCTTCCCACTGATTCTGCAAGCTTATTGCCTTTAACTTCGTGGAAAATATCCTTGTACCTTTTGAGTTGTACACTCGGCTTCCTCTTACCGTGTACTAGCTCACCATAAAGACGATATTTTGGTAGGCGGTTTTCTTGCATTCAGGGGGGCAATTTTTGGAATTGATAGTTTACATGCGGCCGCGCAACTTTGCGAGTGTTAGAAAACGAATGCGTTTTAAAAATTCAATTTTTCAGCTATCTTCGCATCTTAATTTGCGACCGTCGTGAGCGTACGCAAATTTACGAGCCGGAGCTGTGGCAACGTCGACAAATCACAGCGAAAAACTAAATTCTCCCCAGTTTAACCGTATTTTTTACTCTTTATTTACTTTTCATTACTTGGTGTCGATAATCGAGGTTTGTTGTGTTGTTGGTCAAGTGGGTTAATAATGGGAAAAAAAAGTGGAACTAATGTTACAGAAAAGCATAAAGCAACGTTTATAGAATTTGTAAAGAAGAGGCAATGCAATAAATACCCGTATTGCAAAACCATACTGTTCTCTAATTCTGTTGAGTTTTTCAAAATTATTTGGAAATTCGACCCATTGATCGGATACCTCTGGATGGTTTAGAACATTGGTAACTTTATCAATTGAATGAGAAACCGAGGCTTGGCACATAACGATGTATTTATTTAAAGCAACATCTGGCATTACATCGGCATTACATTGGTAAAAACCACTTCCGTAAAATTTCAAAACAGCTAAAATTTGAAATTTAATTAGTTACTTCATAGATATACAATAATAGAGAAAAATGTTACCCGGCTTTGCACATCCAAATCAGTACGTCTCTTCGCATTTATGGCTCAAGTAACTGAATTAAAAAACGGCACAAGTCTTTGGATAACCGAAATATTTTAATAAATTGCCTTTCACTCAGTACTATGAACGCATTCCCCGGATTGCGCAAAACATTACGGCAGTATTGCAGTTCTGCATTTTCTAGTTTCGAATGGCCAAAACGTTCATTAAGTCATCCATTACTATTATTGTTACACCTAAACCCAACTACAAACTTGGAACTATCAAATATAATAAGCGCACTTAGAAAACATATCTTTACGATGCTGTCGATCCGCTCGCAAGACAACGCAGGAAAATATGCTAATACGCAAAAATGCGAACACTTAAAAATTGGATTTTAGTGTTGATCGAAAAGTTGCGAACAATTTGCAAGGAAACGAATGGCCAAAAATTGCCCCCCTGCATACCTGACCAGCCCGTCTTAAGCGGGATTTAGTATTCACGACTTCAACACTCTCGGAGCTAGCTTTTTTAAGGATCGATACATTTGAGACATGGTGGAACCATTTGATACTTAAGAGTTGTCTAAGCTGTTTCTGTTGCAACTTGTGTAATGCGTTCATGTGCCGGCGGTACGGCACCATATAACATGGTGGGGATTATTATTGCTCGGTACACTGCAAGTTTCTTTTTTGTGCTCAAGTCATGTTTGTAGAAAACCCTGTCTTTTAATTTCTAGAATGCTCTTGAGGTGCTACTAATCCTATGCTGAATTTCAACGTAGATATTGGTCTCTTTCGAAATCAAACTGCGGAGGTAATTGAATTCCGCAACATATTCCAATAGTTCTTCTCCGATTTTTATACCATTGTTGTGATTTTCCAGGGGAGTGCACATGATTTTAGTTTTATCGTTGTTCAGCTTAAGGCCCAAAATCTCCTATGCCCAGGTATATGCGTTCAGCATTTCTTGTAATTGCTGTAACGTTTTTGCAACTAGAGCGCAGTCATCAGTGTATTGAAGTTCTGTGATGAATTTTATACGTATTTTTGGCCTAAGTCTTTTCATGTTGAACAGTCTGTTCAACATAAAATCAATAAGAGAGTAAATAAACGACACTCTTAATATTTACATGGGATTTTTTATATCTCATGAACCGATGCATATCTGTCAGTCCCTTTTTATGTTCATTGCCGTACCCTCTCAGTTTGAAAAAACAGAATAAAAACATAATGAATATCGTGCAATGATGCATTATATTTTTGTTTTAGTGATTACTACAATTCCAAAGATTTGCACATAGGCGTAACTACTTCTACGGGTACTATAGTGGAATTTGATAAGAATGGGCTGAGAAAACACAGATCTACACATTGGAACCAGTGTTTACTATTAGATCAAGTAAGTACATCTTATATTTCGTAAGTCTAAAAATATATACCGGGTGCGTCTCAAAAGTGGCTCACCCCCTATAACTTTTTTATTTTTTCAGATAAAAAAAAGAGATTTGGTATGTTAGTATATGACATAAATTAAGATTGATTGACGTATTCAGTTGTTTTCGGTCACTTCCTGTTTCACCGGAAAATAGTACAACTTTTGATTTTTAATGGCACCCTCTGTATTTTTTTACTTTATTTGATAGAAAGTAACACTCGGAATAGAATGACATATCATATGTCAACTTTTGACATTTTCGCTGGTTTATTTGAAATTATAACTTGCTGTTCGTAACGCAAATTTGACTCCAAATACCAAGTGTGTAGTATCAAATTATTAATAAAAAAATACTTTTTCCAAATATGCCAATGAGCCACCCTCGTTCCATTTGAAAAAATTGAGATATTATTAAAAATACGATTGGAGCATTTTCTAACTGGCCAGGATAACACATTAAAAACATTAGACGGTCAAATCTATTTTTCCAAGGCTCTTTGATTAAGAATTACTGTTTTTAACAAAGCCATTGCATTCTAAATTGAATTTTAAAATACGATTTTTTATTTAGCGAGGATGTCAAAAGTTGATATATGATATGTCATTCTATTCAGAATGTCATTTTCTATCGAATAAAGCAAAAAAATACCGAGGGTGCCATTTAAAAATCAAAAGAAACAATTGATTACGTCAATCAATCCTAATTTATGTCATATACTAACATACCATAGAAAAAATAAAAAAAATTATAGGGGTGAGCCACTTTTGAGACGCACCCGGTATATATAAGATAGGAACTATAGGAAACAAGAAATATCCGTCTTATTCGATAGTCAAGCAGCATTAAAAGCGACGTAACCATCAATTCGAAGTTGGTCATAGAATTTTTAGAGCACATGAACAAAGAAGCGATATCCGTACATTTCCAACCTCTACAGATGCCTGAACAATACATTTATTTTTATTAGACTGTATTAAAAAAGCATCTTTTATTTTTCGTTTAGTTAGGTTAGGCTGTCGCTTCTTTCATAAAAATCTTAGTGTTGTTAAAATCTAATCTGTGCCCTGTGTTCTGTGTCCCATGAATGCTCACAAATCTTAGATTTTTGAAAATCGCCCTTTCTTAAATAATCTTTATGTTCTTTAATTAAAAACATTGAAAAACTGTACTTGTACGTAGAATTTTATATCCTTTTAGAATATGTCTTGCTTTGATCTGAAATGTTAGTAATTTTAAGGGAGTGCCCTGAAGAAATAACCTTATTTTTGGGGATCTTGTCTTAAATTGTGGAAACAATACCCGTTTTTATTTAGCTTTATTTATATACAGGGTGAGACGTAAATAACTGCAAATATTTTTAGGGGTCGTATATTTCGATCCCAGAAACACGATTACGATGTTTTTTTCGCAAAAAATTCAAATTTTGGAATTTTTTGAAAACATTTTTAGATTTTTTTTAGTTTTTAGTTAAAAACAAAATTTCTTGATAATATGGCATCGTAGGTAGTAGATTAAATTTACAAGAAAGAAAATCCAAAAAAGATCCAGTGGTTCCCAAAATTTATGTGAACAATATTTTTTTTTGGAAATTTTCAAAGTAAAATAACTCGGTTATTTTGGACTTATTTTAAAAACGATAAAGAGAAAATACGTTTCTTTTATCGAGATCTACAAGCCCTGAAAATATTTGCACTTATTTAAGACTCACCCTGTATATTAAATATTAATAATGATCAAAAACAATTGAATTTTTCACTAGATATTTAAAATTTAACGCACTTTTAAGGAATGTACAGGGTGGGTCAAATTCGAGGCTTTTAAATGGAAACACCCTTTTCTATACGAGATAGACGAAAACTAATATCGGTGTCTGGAGCTCAAGTTTTGTCAAAAACATGTTGGTGAAAACCGCATATCGATATCTGTTACCGTTTCGGAGTTACGGGGTGTTTTTCAAAAATATGCATTTTTAACAAATCGCTGTAACTTTTTTGCTATGGAAAATTTTGTATTTTTGTGAATACATTTCCAAAGCACCTTTTTACGTAGAATTTAATGGTTTAAGTATAATTTTTTTAAAATAAATAATTTAAGAATTATCAACAGAAAATTTGATTTTTATATGGGACACCCTGTATATTTTTAATTTATTGAAAAGAATTTAAAATTACCTTTCCAAAACTATAACACACTTGATATTTTGCTCGATTCCTCTTCGAGATATAGAGTATATAAAAATTCGGCCGTTTTAAATAAGTAGGCTTTGAACGGCACCGGCTGTAATGCAAAAAAAATTCTAGCTGTGAGCATCAATTAAAACGAAAATAATATTTGATATGAGAGATGCAGAATTTTATAACAATTTAAAATATATTTAACCAACATCAACACATTTAAACTATATCTAATAACAATAAAAATAAATAGCAAACCAAGACATGATATTTTGCTACAGGTGTTCGATATATCGACCGTCTTCTGTTGTGGACAGATGGGGCAATTTTTGAACATTTCTCGCGGAATTCATTAACTCGTGGGGGTGAAAGATACCCTCTCATAACTGCTAAGTATTTCTAATTCTTATCTAGATTTTACGGAAGAATAAGGAACCTTTCTTCTTCAGCAAATATATCCATAAGATTAGATCCATGGGCACTAAGTCAGGAGGCCTCGACGGCCAACGGCTGGGATCTTGGTTAGCTCTTCAATTATTCTTTAAATTGGCTGCAAAAATTTGCTGATAACTTCAGCGTTCGGAGGCGGTCGTCGTCTTGTTGGAAAAATATGTTTTCGAGTTCCATTAAGGGCATATCATCATCAATAAGGGGTCCATAGCCTACTAGTTAAAAGTGGCGAACTTTAAAAATTCTGTATTTCGAAGGGGATTATAACAAAATATCAAGTGTGCTATATTTTTGGAAAGGTAATTTAAAATTATTTTCAGTTAATTAAAAATATAGAGGGTATCCCAAATAAAAAATCAATTTGTCTGTTGATAACTCTTAAATTATTAATTAAAAAAAAAATATACTTAAACCATTAAATTCTATTTGAAAAGGTGCTTTGGAAATGTTTTCATAGAAATACAAAATTTTCCATAGTAAAAAAGTTACAGCGATTTGTTAAAAATTCACATTTTTGAAAAACACCCCGTAACTCCGAAAGGGTAACAGATATTGATGTGCGGTTTTCACCATCGTGTTTTTGATGAAAATTGAGCTCCAGACACCGATATTAGTTTTCGTTTATCTCCTATAGAAAAGGGTGTTTCCATTTAAAAGCGTCGAATTTGATCCACTCTGTACAGTACTGAGAGAAAATATTGCAAACTTTGAGTATACAGTTCGAGTTTACAAGTTGTTGACTTGATCAGGATTAACCTCTTCGTCTTGTACATTCTGTTTATCATATGGATTTATATTTGGCTATAACGGTATATTTACTTTTATATCTTTTAATAATTGCAGGTTCCTTCACCTTGGACAGAGCACTGGGACACTACCTTGTGGCAAGTTTGTAAACAAAAATGCTGGTCTTCGAAAACATACAGTGAGGACAAACATAATTGCTATAGTTTTGTACTGACCTTTCTAGTGACATTGTCTTATGGAAGCTTGAGTGACGCTGCGCGTAATCGGACTGTGTTTTGTGAGAAATTTATAGTACCAAGGACTACAGCTGCTGGAAAATACATCTCCCTGTATAGAAAGTTGAAGGAGTATGGATTTTACGTTCACAGAACTAAATAGCATACACTTCTATTCTTCCTAAGTCTATAAACCGGGTTATACATCAGGTTAAGACATACCGGGTGGTGTATCATCGTTGGAAACATAGGAAATCTCAAATAGTATTTACTAAACGTTGCTTTTGCCACATTCGAACCAGTTTCAAATTACAAAAATCAGGGGCGGATACAGGAATTTATTTTAGGGGGGGGGCCAAATAAAAAGTAATGTAGAATAGGTATGCCTTTTAGGGCGCTATTTTTAACCAAAAAGCCTTATATTTCACCAAATTTATAGATGTTAGGGGGGGCCTTGGCCCCATGGGCCCCCCTCTGTATCCGCCAATGACAAAAATACATTTCGGGGACACTAAGCGTAAGGTACTACAACGTAGTAGTGGAGACTGCACCATGATCATAGATAAAAGAAAATAATCTTCTACCATGACTGCACAACAAATTACATTTGACAATGATACAATCATAGGTTCACAAAGACAACTTAAGGTATGTTGAAATTTGCGTGGTTTTGCATGGTTACCTGTTGAGTTTTAATTTAAAAAAAAGATGCAGTTTTTCTTAAATTACTTAAAATCGGCTTGTCCAAAATTGTTCAAATTTGGCATGTGTATTCAGCATAGACAGATTTTTAAAAAACCCAAATACGGCTGTAAAATTAACAGAGGAATCAATATTTGGACAGTCCAAAATTTGCATGGGAATTCCTATATTTCCACCCGGTATGTCCTGTATATGGTCAGTATTTTCACAAATTCATTACATGGATTCCTTTCGTTAGGTATATTTATTTTTCTTACTAGTGCTTTTAGTTTTTGTTTATGTATTATAATTGTAAAAAATATTCCTTTTGTCTTTAGTAAATTACCATTTCTTTTTAGTTTGTATTTTTAAATGGGAATACCATTATTATTTCGTAACATTGCTGTTTATACATTTTCAATGTATTTATAAAAAAAATCTTATACCGGGTGCGTCTCAAAATTGGCTCACCCCTATAACTTTTTTATTTTTTCAGTTAAAAAAACGAGATTTGGTATATTAATATAATATATTAATATACCAAACCTCGACAAATTTATGTCATATTATGACATAAATTAGGATTGATTGACGCATTCAGTTGTTTTCTGTCATTGCCTGTTTCGAAATGACTGCAACTTTTGGTATTTAATTGGTACCCTCGGTGTTTTGTTGCTTTATTCGATAGAAAATGACACTCTGAATAGAATGACATGCAACATGCGATTCATAAGGACAATTTGACTCGAAATACCAAGTGTGTGGTACCAAATTATTCGTAAAAAAATGTTTTTTCCCAAATATGCTAATGGGCCACCTTCGTCCCATTTGAAAAAATTGAGATATGATTAAAAATACGATTTGAGCATCTTTTAACTGGCCAGGACAAGACACAAAAAACACTAGACGATTAAATCTATTTTTTCCCAGGCTCCACGATTAAAAATTAGTGTTTTTAACACAGCCATGGCACTCTAGATTGACATTTGAAATAGATTTTTTTAAAACGAAAATTTCAAAAGTTGACATGTGACATCATTCATCATTCTACTCAGAGTGAGATTTTCTATCGAATAAAGTAAAATATACCGAGAGTGCCATTTAAAAATCAAAAGGTGTAGTCATTTCCGGTGAAACAGGAAGTGACCAAAAACAATTGAATACGTCAATCAATCCTAATTTATGTCATATACTAACATACCAAATATCGCTTTTTCTATCGCAAAAATAAAAAAGTTATAGGGGTGAGCTACTTTGAGACGCACAAATGCCAAAGTCGATTTGTAATATAGAGATATAGAGTACATAATAAATAACTATTTATTTCTAAAAGAATACTTTATTTTAACCTATTGGGTATTGAAATATAAGTTGTGTTTTAAATAATTATTGTGTGTGGAAAAAGTTTTCGTACAGAACCTAGAAATTAGTGGTTTCAGTTAGCGTAGAAGTTTGTTCCTCTAATTTCAATGTAAGCATTCAGAACGCCAAAATTAGTGGTTGTAATTTCGTAATTAGTAGAAAAACTTAACAAACTTTTAACTTTTGCCACTAGAAATTCATCCTTATCTAGCAGGATCTAAAATTCGCAATCTCATAAGACGCTGCAACCAAAAAACAAAAATTTCCCATGTCATTAATTTTTACGCATTTCTAATTCCCTGACGCAACGAGTTATCAGCCAATTAGAACTGACCTTTAAGGGGATCGTAGAGACAGATAAGATAGCAGAAAACAAGAGCGATACTGATAATCGCTAACAATAAGAGTATCTAGGTTTCGGTAATCGTAATCACGGCAGGAATGTGTGATTTTCTCAGCCATCTGGCTAGCAGCCAAACACGTGATAGATAAATCTATTTTTGCGTTTTAGACCGATAGTCAGCTAAAATTTGACGAAAAGAATAAAAAAACCGGACAAGTCTATATTTTTTATGATTTAATTACAAATGTATCGTTTTCAGATTTTTCCCTATACTTGTAGTATTAGATGGTATTACTTACCGAATTTCATATACATACTACTGCCATTACTCGCTGACGAGTATTTGACACGCATCAGAAGATGGTCACGCAGGGCGTTTTCTTTCATGAGCTTTTCTGTGACTGAAAAGCCCGATACGTGATGTTATCTGCCTACCGCACTCCGGTCATTCAAAAATCTCATTGCTTTGTTGCCTCTTTACTTTTTGGTTGTCGCTCTTAACTGAGTTTACAATTCTTCTCCGTTGAGTTCTATTGTGAGCAGCTTCTTCCCACTCATTCTGCATGTTAAACCCCTTTAAGTTTTCGTGAAAAATGTTTTTGTATTTTTTGAGTTGCCCACCCGGCCTCCTCTTGCCGTCTACAAGCTCACTGTAAAGCAGATATTTTAGTAGAATATGCGGTTTTCTTGCATTCTGCACACGTGACCAGTCCATCTTAAGCGGGATTTTGTAACCATGACTTTAATACTCCCGCAGTTAGCTTTTTCAAGGACCGATACGTTTGAAACATGATGAAACCATCGGATTCTTAAGAGTTGTCTAAGGTATCTTTGTTGCAACTTGTTTAATGCCATTATGTGTCGGCGGTACGGCACCCAGGTTTCGCAACACGGTGGGGATTAAAATTGCTCGGTACGCTGCAAGTTTCGTTTTTGTACCCAAGTCATGATTGTAGAAAACTTTGTCTTTTAATTTCCTGAATGCTCTTGAGGCGCTTCTAATCCTGTGCTGAATTTCGTCGATATTGGCCTTTTCTGAAATCAAACTGCTGAGGTAATTGAATTCCGCTACATATTCCAATAGCTTTTCTCCGATTTGTATAGCATTGTTGTGATCTTCCGGGGGGTGCACATGATTTTGGTTCTGTCGATGTTTAGCTTAAGGCCCAAAGCATTGTATGCTCATGTATATGTGTCCAACAAGTTCTGTGATGAATTTTGTACGTGTTTTTGCCCTGAGTCTTTTTATGTTGAACAGACCGCCGTGGTATCTGTATCTAATGTCCAATCCCCTCTCCTGCAGTCCACTATAATGGAGAGCGCTGCTATGAATATGTATATCCCTGCCTAACTCCTGTATTTGTTAGGAAGGGATCGCTCAGTGATCCATGATCCATGATGTGACACTCTTGACATGTTGTTGTTATGGAAGCTTTTACACACTGTAAGAAAATTGCTGAACCAGTGCTGTTCTTCTCTCTGGTTGATTCGAATTTATCTTGTCCAGTAGAGTGCGGACGTTCCACGCCGCAAACGTAAAACATTGATGTTTTTTGTTTCTCCGATGATACGCTCGAGTAGGCACCCCTTCCCGGAGATCCGATTGAGGGGGTATTTTACCTCCGGATGATGATTTTGTCCCACTCGAATGTTCCATCATTGATATGTGTTAGCTGCGTGAAAAGGTTTAACTGTCACGGTTACGCTGCCGCACAGTTTTGGCTGCAACTGTAGCACGGGATGACTTTGGCACAGTGAGAACCGCGACGATAGTTCCTTTGTGCTACGTTCTCGGCCGACTAGGAGTAGTTTACTACTCCTCTTCCCCAGAAAGATGGGAGTTCTGAGGGTTGTATAACGTTATACCGCCTATACTCGGACGTCAGAGCCTCGTTTGTGTAAACAGGGTGCACCGCGTGAAGGTGAGGTTGACTTTTGGGTAAGCTAGGCTATATGTATCGCTTCATTACCCCTTGCACCCCAATTTCATATAGTCCTAGGTCAACGGAAAATACCCTATACATGTGTCGAAATATACGTTTTTGCGGCAAAAACGGTCATACCTTTTTTTATGTTAACTTAGAAGTTTGATTTTTTTGAAACTCTAAGGGACTGTAGACCTAAGTATATAGTTTTAATTTAAACTTGATATCTCCACACGTTAATGGATCTTGACAGACAGACGGACGGACAACATAGTGGTCCTATAATGTTTCCGTTTTTCCTTTTGAGATACGCAGAACCCTAGAATGTAGAATGAGTTGAAGAGGGTTAATCACCGTGTCCTTAAAGATCTATTGTGTCCCCCTGTCTTGACTTATTTTCATCATACAGTCTATAACTCATAACAGGGGATTTTCCTGTTGTAGGGGAGACAAAGTATTTTCCATCCTCTGAAAACAGCTGTTTATCCTCCGAGGATTGGACATCTACCTTCTACGAGGGTATACACCCTTTCACGGTTGGGGTTTAGCCCTCCATGTCCTTCACAATCGAGGAGCTTGTCTCCGGCTGAGGTACCGATGAGGTGGAGGCTGGCAGGCTGGACAATCTATTTCCATTTTCGCTTCCTCTTTAACTTGGTCTCTCCTTAGACCTGATACCGGTGTTGTCCCGAGGATATATACTCTATTGCCTCCTTGGATTTGAGGTCAATTCCTATTGTGAGGACCTGACCAAGGCCCTCCTCACTCGAGTTGATGATTCACCAACTCGATGTCCTTACATTGGAGTTCTGGACACTTTCTATATGCCTATCCATTCTACCTGTCAAATAGAAATAGTGCCGACTCCCCATTTTTTTATTGAAAAAATTCTAAACTGATTGGGCTATTTGTACTTTAGAAATATTGCTGTCTTTAAACGTGTCTAGATTATGTATATTGATATTATTTCTACAAAAAATATTACATCATAGTATTGTAAGTGTTTTTGTTATTAATTAATTAAATTATATTAATACTAGATGGGTTTAATAGTTTTTTTTCTATCTAATTTACTTCAGATTTCAGTGGAATAAAATAGTTTGCTAAAAATATCTGGAAAGGTTGTTGAACTATGACTACCAGGTTTTCCAATATCCAGGGTGGTCCGAATTGCATTCAGGAAACGTTGGCAGTATATTCTGTAGATAAAAATAAGCAAAAAAGTTCGTATAAATTTATGTTCTAAAATGCTTCGTTTAGGAGACACAGGATGCAGAAGTTTTATTTTTATTTCGGATTCTTTCAAAATAATTTCTGAAGTATAAGGTATATTTTGATAAAAATTTGAGTCTGGATGTTTTTTGGTATGAGAAATTTGATTTCGATGTCAATATGACTCCTACTTGTAGGGTACCAAACCAAACTGTTTTGAAGTGTAATAACTTTTCGACCGTACCTGTATAAAACTACAGAGTAAAAAAATATACATTTCCGTCATTTTTGACGTAAAAAATGTCAAATGTCAAAACAATTAGCAAAACATAGGCACCCCAAATCTCACTGAAATGGGAAAAATGGTTTTTAAAACATTTAAAAAAAATTGTTTATTCTTTTAAAATTTAATGCCCTCTAACGGACAA